TATTATATATATATATATATAATTTCAACCCTTGCTTTAAAAAAAATGATTTGTTCTTAACAAATGGGAGGCTGGGGGTGGGCGAGTTAGGGATGTAATCAAGGTCGTCTTGGGACTTGAGGGGTTTGGGTCACCTGAGGTCATCTGGTTGGAAGGCTACCTTTGGCCTGGGATATATGAGCCAAAGGGACACTGGCTTTTCATGGCTCTCCATTTAACAAGCCACAAAAGCTTATCTCCAAGCTCCTTGTCTCATCGCTGGCATCCTCAAATGCTCCCAGGGTGAGGGGAAGGTTGGGCTCTGCCAGGATGGGGCACAGGTACTCCTTGGCACTGTGGTCTCAGCAGGTGCCATGGGGTGAAGCATGGGCAGTGGCCTTTAGAGCAGCATCCTCCTCCGAGCTGACAGGCCTGTGGGGCCCGTGGCTGGTCTCCATGTGTTTTCACTGTCACTGTCAGAGTCCTCAGGAGACAGCATGGAGTCGTGGGTAGAAGAAGAGGTGGGAGGGGGAGCAAGCTCGGAAAAGCAGAGTGCACCATTGGCAGTTTTCTTTCCTGGTGCCACACTTTATAAGGGACATTGATAAACTGGGCTGTATCCAGAGCAGGGCGTCCTGGTGTGTAGTGTGGCACTGTGGGTTAATGTGCTGAACTACAAAGTCGATTGAACCACAAGGTCAGTGGTTCAAGCTCACCAGCTGCTTCTTGAAAATCCTATACAGGTTTGCTATGGGTCAGAACCAACTTGACGGCACTTAACAACACCTACTACATCCAGAGCAGAGAGAGTAGGGTGTGGACATCATGGAATAGCAGAGTCTGGCTTGGGCTGGCTGGGAGAAGCACACAGCTTTAATAGACCAGGCCAGTAGACACTGTGAGTTCAGGAGGCTGAGGTGGGGGAATTGCTGGGGTGTTTCTAACTCAGGGAGGATTTTCCATGGATTGGTCCAGAGATGACAAGATGGGGGCTGGGTGGGTGGGTAGGGGGGACGACTCTGAATCTGTGAGAGTAGGTCTGGGCACCATGATGGAGCTGGAAGGCTGGTTTCTGAAGTTCCTTCCCATGGAGAAGTTCCGATTCCAAGCTCAGCCTGGCACAGAGACAGGGAGCTGGCCCAGGTGACACTAGACAGCTTCTCTGGCTCCAGGATCCCATTCTGACTTGCCATCCTAACCACCTGCTCTTCCAGCTCTCAGGGACAGGCAGCCTTTTCTGGTACTGGATTGGTTTGCTGTTGGGGTCCTAGCCTGGCTTCCTGAGCTCTGCCTGAGACCTCCAGGAACTGTCCAGACCCCCACAACCTGGATACTGCACCACTGGGGAGGGTGGCCTTGTACATCCTATGCACAATGGACTCTGGAGTGGGGGCATGGGGGTGTCTTGGAGAAACCCAGAATCCTAGGACATCTGTCACCCTTCAGAAGAGATTTACAACTGTCTAATTCAAGCTGCTCAATTTACAGGTGGGGAGACTGAGGCCCAGAGGGAGTTGGAAGACTATCATCATGTAGTAAGTCAATGGCAGAGCCTGGATGAGAAGCCAGTACTCCCGGGTCTTCCTAATCCCTTGATGCAAATAGGTAAGAGTTCAATCACTAGCCAAAAATGTTAGAATTCTGACACTTCAAAAGGCACCTCAGAAGAAAGACCTGGCAATCTGTTTCCTAAAGGTGACAGCCTTGAGAACCTCATGAAGCAGTTCTACTCCGCACACATGGGGTCATCAAGAGATGGATTCAACTGGATGGCACGTACAACATCTGCTTAGCAACAACACCTCTCTCACTATTGAGGGCACATTGACTAAGTTCAGATCTTGCAGCCAGCACTCAATAGCTGTGAGAACATAGGTAAGCACTGGTAAAACAAGGACCCGAGGGTCACTATGAGGATTGAAAGGGACAATCCACCTAGCACATGATATATTTTGGATAAAAGTTAGCTATTTTTCAAAGCATACGTTGGGTGCTTTTGCGTCCTTGCTGCCCATGATGCAGTTTGACTACAGGTAGTGACTTCATGTACATGAGTAAGAAAAGCTCCACAAGGTTTCCTCAGTCAAAGAATGGGCTGGGCACTTTCACATCCTTCATACACACAGTGTAAACTGAAAATTTGGATAACTCTCTTCAGTACATATGAAACAAACCAACTCGACGGCACTTAACAGCAACAACAACTTTAACACATGTATTTGAATAGAAGAATCTGTATGTTTTCTCAATCAAAGACTGTACTGAGAACATGTTTATCTTGTAAGAAACAAAGTACGTTGCAAACTAAGATAGTTCTCTTGCATTCATGGGAGAGTGTGTCTGCCTCCCATTAACTGGCTGTCAGCAAACTCAAGAGATAATGAGCATAAAAGGATCCTATTTCTTATAGAAAAGTGCTGTGCGCACCCTAGAGGTGTTATAACCCTGAAGGGCGATTCGAGGCAAACATCATGAAGAAGACAGATGCCCTCCTGGGGTTCACTGAGGACCAGTAACCTGGTCCGGAGGGAGTGAAAGTGGGAATCAGCAGGTCAAGGACTAAGGTAGACTTGGTTTTGCAAGAAAGGCTCTATGAGGCAATGAAGCCTGAAGGACACCCGTATCACCTCAGCAAAGACTCCAGAGAGAAGTGGGGTCTGCCACATAGTGCCTCAGTTTCCTCACCTCTCAAGCTCTGGTGGCACAATATTTAAACACTTGACTGCTAAGCCAAAGGCAAACAGTTCGGATCCACCAGCCACTCCCCAGGAGAAAAGACCTAGCAATATTACTGTAAAGATTGGTGGTGGTAGTCAGGTGCTATCGAGTTGGTTCCAACTCATAGACCCTGAATAGGTTTTCTGAGGCTATTTTCTTCACGAGAGCAGAACGCCTCATCTTTCTCCCATGGAGCGGTTGGTGAATTTGAACTGTTGACCTTGTGCTTAGCAGCCCAGCATGTAACCCACCACGCCACCAGGACTCACTGTAAAGATGACAGACAGCCTGGGAAAACCTATGGGGCAGCTCTCCTGTCACATAGAGTCAAATCAGTTGGATTTGACTTGTCAGCACACAAGAACATCAAGGTGTCTACCTCACAGGGTTGGTGGCAGAATTAAATGGGGAGGGGAGGAGGATGGATCTGTGTACAGTGACGACACAAGGCCTTGAGCCACCCTGTCCATCAGCATCACCACAGAAGGCAGCAGACACCAAGCAAAGGAAGGGGAAGGGCTGCCAAACACACCAGGCCTCTTGAGCCAGGGCCAGGTTGTGTCTGGGAACACAGCAATGACGGGGACAAAGAAGACAGATGGGGATAACAGACAGGGGTTGCTATCACCCTTGTAAGAAAAAAAACATCAAGGACAGCCAGGAAGATGAAGAAACTGCAGTCTGGACACTGGCTCACCCCCAGGACCCAGGGCACTGTGGAGGCAGTAGGGTGTGGAGGTAGGGGGAAGCTTTAAGCCTTAGGTGGCAGTTGGATCAGGCAGTGACATCTGAGGAGCCCTGCCACCCTGAGATTATGCAATTTGAGTCCTCTACTTACTTAGTTTAGCCAGATTGGTTTGAACCACAAAGCCTGCAGTTCAAACTCACCAGCTGCTCCTCAGAAACCCTAGACAGAGTCACTATGAGTTGGAACCGACTCCACAGCACTTAGCAACAACAGTTTAGTTTAGATGCAAGAATGAAGTCACAGACTTCGGTGCCAATAAGTCTTGGGTTTGAATGTTGGATTCTCTACTCTAAGCCATGGACCATGAGTGAATGAAGTCATCAGAAGGCAGATGGCTCACAGAGGAGAGCCCTACACTCTGAGGTCTGATCCCAGTGCTTGACGGGTCCCAGGAAGAAACTTGGGTTTGGGTGGGAGGGTAGTGGGGGCTGGGCATACTTACCTTCAACCCGTCAGGCCCTGTGGGTCCACTGTCACCCTCCAGGCCTGGCTCTCCCTAGAAAGAAGGATGAGGAAAGATGAGGGACATTACTGAGAAGAGCCCCCAGCCTGCTTTTACTTGCTCCCCTCTTTCTAGAACAGGACCCCAAGCTCCAGAAGGTAGCTCTGCAGGCAGTGGAGCCCCTAGAGGCCTTGGCACACAATGGGTGCACAGAAAACGGTAGTTAATTAATGAACAAGTGGGAGGGTTGAGGCATATGTCTTTTGCTCTCCAGAATGGGGGAACAGACCTCCAGACCACAGACTGCTCTGTCTTTCGGGTGGCGGGGTGGAAAATTAAATTAGATCAGGAGTTAGAAAGTCCCGATGCTGGAGCCACCCTGGATGGGTGGTGGTTGGAGCAGGGAGGCAGTACAACATAGGGTTAAGAATGGGCTTTACCATCGGAAAGACCTTAATGTCACTACTGGGTTTCCCATGCACTGGCTGTTTGACAACATGCAAACTACTTAGTCCCCAGGAGCATCTGTTTTCTCATCTGCAAAGTGGGGCTGATATGACTTCCTTTAGGGACCGCTGCAAGGCACAGTCTAAGCACCCCAAATATGGTGGTGTACTATTGGAATTGGAGAGAGTCCTCATGGAACTCTTTGGTCAAATTCCTTTTCTCAGATGCGGAAAGAGAGTCCTTCAGTCCACTAGCTAGTGTGGGAATGATATTGTCTGACCCTCAGCCAGGTTCCCTGCTTGGTCTTCCAGCTCCAAGGTTATGGCCCTGCACTCCTCAGTTTCTCAAGGTGACAGGCAAACTAAGTTTGAGTCTCTTCTCTGAATTCAAAGCTCATAACTGTTCAGAGTCTGAACTGGAAGGCCATCAGATGTAGGAATAACAAAGATGTGACAGGCATGTAGAGTCTGCCCTCTCTGTGCCCATGGCAGACATCACTAATCAATCCATTAGGCTGCACACTTTCTCTACTGTATTCTCAATGGCCTGAGAGAAGAGGCCAGCACACAGAGGGCATTGAATGAATGCTCACTGTCTTTCCTACTGAGCCTAGATGGAGCCTTGTTGTTGTTGTTAAGTACCGTGGAGTTGGTTCCGACTCATAGCAACCCTGCACAGGGTTTCCGTGGCTGTAAATCTTTATGGGAGCAGAATGCCTCATCTTTCTCCCATGGAACCGCTGGTAGTTTCGAACTGCTGACTTTGAGGTTGGCAGCCTGACTGGTAACCACTATGCTACTAGTGCTCCTTAGATGGACCCTTAGGGTCCTCCTTAATGTGACACTCCAGGTAGACTCTACCAACCAATTTCGGTTGACACACATGCTCTGCCATCTCAGCTGTCCAAGATCCAAGGTTATCCTCTCTTGCCCCGTGACTATCTCTTTTCATGTTTTAACATAGTTTGTGCAGAATCTGTTAATCATGAACTAGAAGTAGCATGAGGCATTAGAAAAAAGAAAGATGAGAATTGAGGAGGCTTTGGTTAGGGGCTCCCCCAAGATCTGTGGCCCATACTAACTTCCTCTGCCTCTTGGATTCCCCATGTATATGGTCTAGAAGATAGCTGCCCTATACACCTCACAGTGCCTTGGGGTCCACATTCAGGCAGGGGCCTTAAAATCAAGTGCAAAGCATAGAAAGATGAATATGATTTCATAATGTGTCTTAGAGAAGCGAAGCTTTGTGGGTTTCTTTTGGTAAGGGAACATTGTTACTTGGTTGGTTTTTGTTTTGTGCTTATAAAGGGTGATTGACAATAAAAGTGCACAGAGGTCAAGGAAATTTGGGGATCCTGAATTAGTCCAAGTGAAACCAGTTTCTTAATTGCAGGCCTTCTCAGAGTCTTGCAAATGCTATGTGCGGTTAATGTGTAAAAGAGAGCCCTGAGTTTGCAGTGAATCGTAAACAGTTTGACCACAGAATTGCTTTTCTGAAGAGCATTTCTATGTAGTGGAAATGCTAGCCTACAATGAACAAGGCTGTGGAGATTCGTGGTCTATTTGTGCCAGTGAGCTGAGGCTCAAGGAAGTTAAGGCCTTCCCTGTCCCCCTCTCTCCCTCAAGCACGCAATGAGACACTCCAGTGGTTTTCCATGGAGAATGAATTTGGTTCAACTTACCCGCTGCCCAACAAGGCCCTGCTCACCAGGGGCACCCAGGGGTCCAAGGTCACCCTAGGAGAAACCAAACACAAGTCCATCAGGGGTGAAGTCAGCCCTAGTCCTTCATGTCATTCCATTTTCAACAGCTCTAATTTGAAGTGGCTGGGGCACTTCCAAAGAACCCCAAACTAACTATAGCCCTTTTCCAAGTCAATCCTGGTCACATGGTAGACGGGTCATCAGGCTCACCACCATCATCACCCTCATCAACATGGCTAAAAACGTACACAATGCCATTCTAAGTACTTTTCTATGCCCACGCATTTAATTTCCACAACAGGAAGGTACCAATGATAGTCTTGTATACAGATGAAGACATTGAGGCACAAAGGGATGAAATAACTAGAAATTAGAGGGAACCTGTATAGTGCAAATGGCAAACATGCGACTAAACACTTCTCCGCTCTCCCTGAGAACTTTTGAGAAATGAGTGGGAGGCCCTAAAGCAGCCAGAATGTCACCTGAGCCCCAGAAGGGTCTTTCTTATCAATGATTTCCAAGATGTGTTCTCTTGCTGGTGTCTGGGAAACAAGGAGACAGACAGGGCTCTGAGCCCCCAGATCCATCCCAATAGGAATAATCCCATTTCTGTCTGTTTTATGTCCGAGTGGGTTTCTTCATTGTTGTTTCAGCAAAGGATTCTGGGACTAAGCCAAGTCTGATGGTCCCAAAGAGGTCCACCCCCCTTTTTGAATGGTAGAGAGATTCAGGCACAAGAGAACCTGCTCCAACAATGCCCTCAGGCAGCCCAGCATCACTCATCGCTGTGGGTCCGTAATGGAAGGCAGAGTCCCTTTCCAGTAGCAGAGCCGGGAGGAGGTTCTCCCAGAGCCCAGGGATCAATGGACGCCTGTTTCCCGGCAGGTAATGAGTGATACCGGCACTGAAATGCAGATGGTATCGATGGAGAATGGGAGGTATAGTTGCCTAGCATGGAGGCAGGGGCAGGTGCCAGAGAAAACATTGCCAGGCAGGGCCGGGGGCTCTGGGCCGAGTGGGCACCCCCTGCTGTGGCCACAGCCAGGTCCGGCTCCCCCACCACAAGCACAGAGAACCCATTATCCTGGGCACAAGAAAGGCTGGTTCTCTTCCGTCTGGAGGACATTGCTGCCAGCTGGGAGCTGGTTTTAACAAGTCATGTTTCTCTTCTTTCATCCCTGCTCACCTTCATCCCAGCTTCTCCAGGAAGGCCCAGTTCTCCCACTGGCCCTGGCGGCCCCTGCACAAAAATGCCATTGGTCACTCCTAGAGCAAGGGCTGGCCCCTAGTAGGAAGGGAGGGGGGTAGGCCTCAGTTTCCTGCAAGCTTTGAGCTGGGGCTGGGTGAGAGGGTGGTTGGGCCCAGGCTGTCTGACTCTGGCTGCCCAGTGCCTGTGAAGCTCTGTCTCCCCAGGAGCGTGGTTTACCACATGAGGAGCCCTCGGAGGAAATTTCCTGATTCACATAACACAGTGGGGAGCCAATGGATGCCATGCTGGGCTGAGCGACCCCAGCCCTTCTCTCTGCAGACAGGCCAAGAGGACCAGGACAGGAGGGGATCCTGGCTTCTCCCCATGGGCATAACTGCAGCCTTACATAACCCCCAATATCCCGTTTTATCCTCAGGGGTAGGAGGAAGGGGGAGGGGTGTCTAAATCCTCCCAAGTCCTTTGCTGCTTGACCCTAAGAGGACTAGTTCTTTGATCACACCTCTGTGCTGGGGTGCAGTCCAAGTTGGGGGCGGGGGTCACTGCTGCTTTCCATGATACAGACAGAGAGGAACTGCCAACTGGGAGCCAGCTTCTTGCCCTGTGCCACCAGGGCAGAGCTACCCTCCAATCTGCAGCACATAGGACAAGACTGTCTCCCCTGCCAGGGCACAGAGTGGCAGACAGGGACCTTGAGGTAGGGGGCTGGGAGGGACTGTACATCCCCAACAGTACAAGGGGCCCTCCGCACTCACCTTGGGTCCCATCTCTCCTGGGGAACCGATTGGTCCCTGTGGACCCTGAGGGCCCTAGAAGATAGACAGACACACAGACAGTTGGGAGAAGCCCTCTTCGAGGCGGGTGAGGGCCTAGGGGTTCCACATAACATCCCATGGAGAGTCATGGAGTCTGCAGTTTCTCCTTCTCGATGTTTCCATCTCTCCCCTCCAATCCATTCTGTATACTCTACTCATTTCCTCAATCCCAGTAGGGCTCACTCCTGTTCAGAAACCCTGAAGCTCTCGAGTCTTGCTCACTGTTTCCTCTGCCTTTTGTTGTTAAGTGCCGTCGAGTCGATTCCGACCCATAGCAACCCTGTATAGGGTTTCCAAGGAGCAGCTGGTGAGCTTGAACAGCCGACCTTGCAGTTCAAATGGTTTTGCAGTCTGGCGCATTAACCCATAGCGCCACACGTGGAAGGGCCTAAAACCCATTCACCTCTAGAAATCTGCTCCCAATGCCACCCCCAGACTTCTAATCTACTAGGCAACTGCTCTGGGCCTCAGGAAGTGGGAATAGAGCGGTGGCCTGGGGACCAAATTCTCTTCCACCTTGCGTACTCCTCAGAACCCTAAGCTAGGTCCCCTTCTCTCTACTCAGCACAAGGCCAGTCCCACCACCCTCCACAGCCTCTCATGTTGTTGTTGTTAACTGCCATTGAGTCAGTTCCAACCCATAGCAGCCCTGGAAATGGTTTCTGAGGAGCGACAGGCGAGTTTAAACCGCCAACCTCGTAGTTCAAAACAACCTTGCGGTCCAGTTCTTTATCCCACAGTGCACACCAGGATTCCCTTTCATGGGTCTCCCTAAACCCGAGTTTGTCCCAAATCCATCTTGTTAATCTATTCTAATCCTTCCTTCCTCCTGATTCTTTGTTTCCTCCTTCATTTTACATGGTGTTGAGACCTCTATATACATTTTCTCATTTAATCTTCAGAATGGCAAGGTAGACAATTATCCTCGTTTTGCTGGTAAGAACACTGAGACTGGATGGAGGCAGGGCGAACTTAGACTGGAACCCAGGTCTCTTGAGTCCCTGTCTAGCGCTCTCACGCTCTCTTCACCTCCCCAAATCCTGTCCCATCAGGGTGGTGGTGCCCTAGGACTGTCTCCCTCTAGATTCTCTCCTTGCCTGACCACATGGTTCACACCCTCAGATGGGTGACCCACCTGACACCAGCTTGCCAGCGATACCAACACAAAAGAGGAGGAAAGGACACTTACCGGTTCTCCTGGGAGGCCCTTGGTGCCTGGAGGACCTGAGGGACCCTGGATGCCCTGAAGAGACCAAAGAAGACCTTAATCCCTCCAGGGCCTTCCCCAGACTGCCAGTCCCCTTGGCCTCAGTAGAACTTATGACAGTGTTCTACTCTCCTACCCCATGTGACAGAGGAGAAGACAGACTCAGAGATGGGGGGAGACATGCTGGCAGGTATTTGGTGCAGGGACCAGACATCTAGAGCTTTTAGGGTCTCCACAAAAGATGGGAACTTGGTTAAAGTGGCTACTGTATGCACCCACCCACCCACCCACTCATAGTCCCATGTAGAAAATTCCAAGAACTGGTACTACTTACAGGAAAGCCTTGAGGGCCTGCGTACCCTCGGTCACCAGACGCTCCCTGGAAGCACATTTGGGGTTTTTAGGGGTTGAAGGCCAGGGCAGGCTGTGGGAGATCCTCACCTCAAAGATGGAGTAGAGAGGAGCCTGAGGGGCCTGGCCTTCTGGTGGGAGGGGAGTTAGGGGCATACCTGCTGCCCAGATTGGCCCGGTCTGCCCTGTGGTCCTGGAGGGCCCTGAAAGGAGCAAAGCACATGAAAGTGGGGAAGACCCTTCATAAAGAATGATGGTTCCCCCACTGCCCCCACACACTTCACCAGGAGAGATGAAAGGAACTGAGAGATCACAGCGTCCCGCCAGTTCCCATTGCACAGGTGGGAAAACTAAGGCCCAGCAGGGTGAGTGGCTGTTCCTATTGATGGGGCTGCCAAAGGCAGACAGGGTTTCCAGGGTCTGGGAGGAGGGCTGCACTTGCTCCCACTCTCACCCTTGATCTTTCTCTCGCTCACACACTGTCTCTCAGGACCACTGTCTTGCTCTGTGTTCTCTGATCAGCCCTGCTCCTGCATGCTGAGCTTGAGGGAGGACTAGGAGTGTGGAGGAGTTGAGCTCTCGGGCCCTCAACCCCTTACCCCGACCCAGTGCCTGCCCTCCAGACCCCCTGTAGTCTCTGAGGGGCTGGTGTTGAGGAAGGTGAGAGTGTTGGCTTCTGGAATTCCTGACCCAGTGGGGTGGGAGGAAAAGCAAACTATGGGGGTGGGGGGGCAGTACCTTCAGGCCTCTGGAGCCTGGCTCCCCAGCTGTTCCATCTGGTCCACGGGGGCCCTGGAAAAGGAAAAAGGGACTAGCATAGTGGACAGCAGGGGTCTCCCTTGGGCTGGGAACCAGAAGAGTGGGGCAGCTCAGAGCCTGGTCTTTTACTGCACAAGCCTGGGGCTCTCCTCTCCTCCACCTCCTGCCCATTCCCATCCTAAAGCAGGTCACCCTATGCAAAGTGTTGGCAAGAGTGGACACAGCCAGAGCCCCTTCCCTTTAGGAATGGTGTGGAGTACCATTAACTCTTTAGACTCTAAGGGCCAGCCATCTGACCCATTTCAAAGATGTAAAAACTGAGGGCCAGAGTTGAGAAGCATTTGCCCTCGTTTCTACAAACTCCTCTAGTTAGTCACTAGAGCACACACAGGGTGGGAACATGTTTGCAGCAGGGCACACTAGAAAGAGTAGAATGGGGCCACAGCTCACGGGGCTGACAGAAGGATGTAAGGAGGGTCTGGTTGTACTCAGATGTGTGAAGCCAGGACCATCTTCAGCCAGATGTGTAAATTAATCTTGCCCCCCGTGACAAAAGAAGAGCTATGGGAGGAGGGCTTGGGACAGGGTATGGGGTGAGTGCAGTGCAGAGCCAGGCAGCCCCACCACCCTACAGGTAGAAACACTAAGGCCCAGTCAAGAGCCATTAACACATTAGCAGTTAGTACTGGCCTCCTGGACTCCTGGTGTGGTGCTGTACGATCAGCACTGGACTGCAAACCATAAGGCTGGCAGTTCAAACCCACCAGCTGCTTCTCAGAAACCCTATACAGGGTTGCTATGAATTGGGACTGACTCGATGGCACTTAACAACACTGGACTGCTACCCTAAAGGTCAGCAGTTCAAACCCACCAGCACTCCACAAGAGAAAGATGTGGCTGCCTGCGTCTATAAAGATTTACAGCCTTCAAAACCATATGGGGCAGGTCTACTGTGTCCTGCATGGTAGCTAGGAGTAATGATCGATTCATCAGCGATGGGTTTGGAGCCCCATGTGCCCCCTCCATGGGACACAATGGGTTACAGTCTCCTGGAAAAGGACCCATGGAAGGTGGTTGTTCTGTGGGGGTGGGAAGAAGCCAGAGTTGGGGAGACAAAGGGTTCTGTGAGAGAAGCTGGTCCTTCTCCACTACCTGAGACCTAACCAGGGAAGACCCCACAAGTGGGATGAGGAATGAAAAAATCAACAAGGAGACAGTCATTTAAAAATTGAATAAGGCCTGAGATGGAGACAGAGAAGATGACATGAAGAGATGGAGTGGCTGAGGACTTGAGATCCAGGGAGGGAAGGGAGCTGTGTGCTGAGGACCGTGGGGGGAGGGGAACCTGAGGGGTATAACCTTTAGTTGGGTGATGATGCATGGACAGGATGGTAACTATGGCAATGAAATGATGTATGCTAGAATGAGTGTAAAGCTAATGTTCCCCCATGTAAACTATCCCAGTTAAAAAATTAAAAATTGAATAAGGAAAATTTCAATTTAACTCTAATAAAGTCCCTTGCAATTAACCAACTGCCTGGAAATCCCACTACTTCAATTCCACCCTAGGGTCTTAAATAGCACTTCACTAAGTAAGGCCCGAGTAGCAGACCACCGGGCCTGAGACATTGCTTCACTGGCTTTCCTGGACGAGGAGGCACAGTGGTGGTGATGGCTGTGGAGTCAGTTTCAACTCATAGCGACCCTGTACAGGGTTTCTGAGGCTGTAAATCTTTACAGGAGCAGAAAGCCTTATCTTTTTCCCATGGAACAGCCAGTAGTTTCGAACTGCTGACCTTGCAGTTCGCAGCCCAATTCGTAACCACTATGCTACCAGAGGTCCTTCGTGCTCAGGAAATGCTTTGCTTCAGGAATCAGCAACTGTTCCTTTCTGTGCCTGTCATCTTAGTTCCGAAATGATTCCCTCAAGGCAGGGCAGCTCAGCACTTGGTATACAACATGCACTCAATAATGGCTAGTTTCTGTGCCTGCCTGGCTCTGCCAAAGAAGGCTGCGGGCTCCCCAGGGGCAGGGACGGGAGTGGCTTAGCAAACTGGATCCTGGAAGTTTACTTGCATTATGTCACATAGAATTGACTGAGATTTTTCGGATTTAAGACAAGGTTTAATTAACTCCTGAACAAGCATCTCTTCTGGGCATTAGAGGGCTTGGGTGTTAGTCCTCATTCTGCTGCCAAGCTAAAGTGTGCCCTGAGGAAAGGACTTCTCATCCCTGGGTGGGGTCTCAGGCTCACATGCCCACTGGCAGCCCATGTGTTAGACTGAACACCTGGAATCAGGAGATGGAGTCAGAATGGGTTCCAGGTAGCAAAGGACAGAGACTGAGTGGATGGGGGCAGCCCAGCCCATCCAGGAGAGGATTTTTGTCTCTAGCTGAGTCATGGAATTCTCTGGAAATGAGCATCTCTGGGCAGGGAGGGAAGACCAGTGGAGTTGAGGATTGAATCTCACAGCACCCTTCTTATTCCAGGAACCAAAGCTATACGGACAAAGGTTATACGATCTACTACTAGTAATAGTAATAATAATAACCTTCGTTGCTGTTGTTAAGTGTTGTGGAGTCAGTTGTGGCCATAGCAACCCTGTATAGGGTTTCCAGGGAGCAGCTGGTGGGTTTAAACCACCACCCTTGTGGTTCAAGTAATAATAATCATGGCAGCAGCAGACATAGTGAAAGTCATCCTCATCTTACAAATAAATAAACAGGCTCAGGGCACAAGTGACCCAGCTCAAGGTCATAAGGGAGTAAATGAAGGAGCCAGAATCTGATACCAAGTCGGCTGATGCCCGTTCTTTAACATCACGACCTGTCAGTCTGTCACTGTTTATCAGGTGGCATGAGCCCCTGGGTCACAGCAAGTGTGTAAGTCAGGGTCTAGAGGAATCTGTCAGAAGGATGCAGAGTTGGATAGGGTGTTGGAGAAGACCACCTCTAAAATTCCTGCTATTGGGAGAATCCACTGTCTCCTGGGAGCACCCATGAATGAGCTCAGGGAGAAGTTGGGCCCGGTTTGGAGGGAAGAGGGGCAACCTTCTCTGTCTGGAGGGAGTGGGGGGATGGGACAACAGCCACCACCTCTCCTCAGTTCCAAGTGCAGGGAAAGGAACCAGGGCGGTGCACACTCTGACCCTTGCTTTGGGCTGCTCTGCATCCCGCTCCCTGGAGGCAGGCCTGGGTTTCATTCAGAGCCACATGTCCACTCCTCTGTCTGCTCCCCAAGGAAGATGTTTGCAATCAAGACCAGCTGCCAGCCAGGCCTGGGGTCAGGCTCAGTGGGAGGGGTTGACTAAACGTGACCCCTTGCCCAGGACAGAAAATCAGGCTGACCAAAGCTCTTGTGTAAAAGAAGCAGATGACTCAGAGAAAATGTGCGTGAGCTGAACACCTACTGTGTGCAGATGCTCTAGGAGGTGTTTACTGTGTGCAAGGCACTCGTTAAGGGATTTGATCCCCATGGGCATCTGACAGCAGGTTGGCTCTGTTACTAATTCATTTCACAGAGGACAAACCAGAGGCTTAGAGGGGAGAAAGTCAGCCGTACAGGGTCAAATACAAAGCTCCAGGGTTGCGGCTCCCTCTGTTGTATTCTAACCCCCACGCCCATGAGCAGAGTGGAGTCAGAATCTCACATCCCTACTGAAGGAGGAACTAAAGACACCCATGAATGATGGGGGAACACCTCATGAGGTTAAGATACCAGGCTGAGGGATCACCACTAGGAAGTGGGGAAGCTGAGACTTGCCCCCAAGGTCCACACTTTCACCTGGGCCCAGACACTAATCAGTAGTCTCTCCCATTCTGTCAAGGGCTGAAGTCAGTGTCCCTGTCTTTCTCTAGGCCTCTGCCCCTTACTACTCATTTTTCCCAGGAGGAGGGGGTAGACAGCAGGGTCTACCTCACACATGGACAGAGAAGAAGGCAGAGCCCCACTGCAGATATCTGAGCCCTTTCCCCATACCCTGCACATGTGGGGAAACTGAGGCCCAGAGAGCAGCAATGCACTCAGATGAGCAGGAGTTATTACGGGGACTTGTCCAGACTCAAGCTCATTCACAGGCACTGGGGGTGCTCCTCAGCCCTTACCTCACTCACCCCATCTATGGAGTGACCCCTGTTAGGCAGAAGATCCAGGGGTAATCCCACAGGGTTTTTTTGCTTTCCTGCTAAACCTGGTGGGAGGGAGAAGGCTAGGTTTCCTGATGCCTTCCCCCTTCCTCAGAATACGAGACTTTGATATGGTAGGAGCCAGGGTTCTCTACGCAGCAGAAACATTCTTGAAGCCCCTGATGGAGAGGGGTGGTAGAGACAGGTGTGTGTGGTGGGGAGCAGTAGATGGGAGGGAGGCTGAGTTTCAAATCTGGGATGGGGATGAGGACCAGGCCCTCAGCTGCTCACCCTCCTGCTCAGGCTTCCTGGGGCAGGAGGAAAGGTGGAACCTGCCTGCCCAAGGGCCTCAACTCCTTCCCCAGGATACGGCTCATAGGCTCATCGAGGGGCCCACCGAGCCAGAAGAATGCCTCTTAATCTCCCCTCACTGCAGCCTGCTCACACCATCTGGTTCAGGGGAAATTTTAAAACCACTTGAAATCCAGCCAAGAGGAGAAGAAGAATCACAGAACCCAGGCACAGAGCTTGGTTACTGGGCCGAGGCTGCCTACTCTACCTGGGTCACCTGATTCCCTCTGTGCACAGCTGGGGGCAGAAAGTTGTTGCATCAGCCCTCCCGGCAAACCTAAAAACAGGGCTGGATTCAGTGTGCAAAACAGCCAGTTTCCATGGGTTCAAATCCCAACTCTGCTACTTCCTAACTGTCCAAGGGGACTTCAAAATTTCCATGGAAAGATTCCATCTTTTAATTCCCTTTCTCCACAAACATTGTGAAGTTCCCTCATATAACCGGAGGCATGTTATATGTCCTTCAGTTTCTTCATCTGTAAAACAGGGACAAGAACAGCACCTGCCTTATAATGTTGAGGATGAAATGAGCCCACGCATGTGATGAAATAGTGTTTGGGTACGTGGTTATTGTGTGCTGTTGAGGTGATCCTATATGACACTATAGAACTGCTCCATGAGGTTTTCTAGGCTGTGATCATGACAGGAGCAGATTGCCAGGTTGTTTCTCCCTTAGAGTGGCTGGTGAGTTTGAACCGACAAACTTTCTGTTGGCAGCCGAGCGCTAAACCACTGCACTACCATGGCTCCTTTGGTGCAGAGTAAATCCTAGCAATTATCCTGAACACCACACTCAGGCCCAAAATAGAAAACTCAAAAAACAAAACCAGTTGCTGTAAAGTCAATTCTGAGTCAGAGAGACCCATGTGTGTCAGCGTACAACTATGCTTCATAGCATTTTCAACTGCTGATTTTTTAGAAATAGATCTCCAGGACTTTCTTCTGAGGAGCCTATGAGTGGATATGAACCACCAGCCTTTTGTTTAGTAGGTGAACACTTAATCGTTTACCAAACCTGGGGACTCTGGGCTCAGATCAGCTCGTGCTTAAACCCCCTGTGGCTCCCCATCACGCCTGGAGCAGTCACTGGTGTAGCTGTGATTTCTAAGGTCCTGCCTGGTTTGACCACCTGTCTCAGCCTCGTATCTCTCCCTCTGTCCCTCTGTTGAATAATGGGGTCCCTAAAACAACAAGGAGCTCTGGTAGCGTAGTGGTTACGAATCGGGCTGCGAACCTTAAGGTCAGAGGTTCGAAACTACCAGTCGCTCCGCGGGAGAAAGATGAGGCTTTCTACTCCCGTAAGGATTTACACCCTCGGAAACCCTGTACAGGGTCGCTATGGGTCGGAACCGACTCGACGGCACTTAACAAACAAACAAAAAAAACAACAAACACCCACACGCTTTCTCCCCTTAGGCTTCTATTCTACTGGTCCCTCTGCCTGGGATATGGAATTCGTTCAAGCACTGCCATCTTCCAGAAGTTTCCCTGACATACTGCCCAGGTGAGGTGCCTCCTCTGGGCTCCCAAGCTGCATATGCTGCCACCATCCAAGTGCCGGTGACGATGTATATATCATCTGCTAAACTGACTACATGACCAACTGAGTCGTGAGGCCAGACAAAGGTCACTTCTATCCTATTCTCTACAGTATCCACAATGCCTATAACAGTGTGTGGCACACAGTTGGCACATTGCTGTTGTTAAGTGCTGTTGACTCGGTTCCAACTGATAGTGACCCTGTATAGGTTTCCTGAGGAGCAGCTGGTCTTTTGAACTGCCTACCTTGCAGTTAGCAGTCCAGCACTTATCCTACAGTGCCACACCAGGACTCCATGTGACACATAATAGGCACTAAATAAATGCTGGTTGAAAGAATGCATAAATAAACCATAAATACAAAGAGCCCACTGTGCCCACTGGATGGCAAGGCAGGAAAGATGGAAGGGTCCTGGAATCCATCCCAAGTGTGTTTCTGCCAGTGCCAGCCCTCAGGGGCCGGTTGGCCCAACTTACCTGGTGTCCCTTGGCTCCCCTCATGCCTGGTGGGCCTCGAGATCCTGAAGGGCCCTGTGGAGAGGAGCAAGAGTTTGGAGAAGCCCCTTTCAGGGAGAGAGTGTGATGCTGAGAGCTAGAAGCTTGGGCAATGTTGGAAGGCCTGTAGCCTCAGACAGCTATTCAGGAGCTGTCCCTGTCTAGGCCCCAGCAGGCTCCACATCCCAGGACTTAGCAGCTGACCAATTGGGAGAGGTGGCTGACACGCCATAACCCTGGGCACTAGAGAAGGCATCGGAAGTGGGTCTCAACCTTTCCTGGGAATCCAGGTAGCCAAGAAGGCTTCTTAAATAAGCCATTTCCTCTTCTTCATCTCAAAATGGCATTCCTGACACAAATCAACTTCTCTTTTTGTCCACCATCAGTAGGAATTCAGAAATCAAAGTTCTGTCCTTTACCCCACCCTGACCCAAATATAATCTTAAATCATCCAGAAAACTCTGACCAGAGTAAAACGGATGAAGAACCTAGAATCACAAGATGAGCTTGAGGATTGGTCAAAAAAAGGAGGGAAGGAGTGAAACTGGCAGAGAAGTGTGTGTGTGTGTGGGGCAGACAGAAAAGGCAACAGGACCTGGCCAGAGAAGAGAGAAGGTGCCCCATTATCTTGGTTTGATGAAGGAATAGAAAGAAGAGGACCAAAGGGAGAGAGGGAGAGACAACATTTCTTCTGTGAATTCTCAGCACCTGGCTGGCCCATCACAGACACTGGCCAAGTACTTAGGAATCTGCTGAATGAACAAATAAGCATATGAACAAATGAAGAGAATAGAAGGGTAGAGAGAAAGAGAAAAAAGGCAGAGAGGAAGCAGGCTACCCTACTGCCCAATTTCCCTGTGCTTTCAGGTCCAGTTCTGTCTGTTGAAAGCAGCTGTACCGCAGAGGCCCACCAGGACCCCTGTGACAGTTCAGGCACCTTCCAGCCCAGCAGCGGTGATTCTCAGACTGAGCATGCTCCTTTTACAAGGAAGGGGTGGCTTCGTCCCACTTGGAATACCAAGGAGAAGGCTGGTATTTATTTCTGGTTTGGAGCCTCAGAAATAAATCCGTGCTGTTCCCATTGCTCTTTCTCAGGCAGATCTGACTCCGGGATGGTGGGGAAAGGGAAAAATGGTGATTTTACAGAAGGCAGTCAGTGCGTCACTGGGGAGTTTTCTGCAGCCAAGTGTCTACTTAAAGCAGCAGAGTGTTGTTGTTGTTATGTGCCGTGGAGTCGGTTCTGACTCGTAGCGACCCTGTACAGGGTTTCCGAGGCTGTAAATCTTTACAGGATCAGAAAGCCTCATCTTTCTCCCACGGGACAGCTAGTAGTTTTGAACTGCTGACCGTGTGATTCGCAGCCTGATTTGTAACTACTATGCTACGGGCTTAAAAGAGCAGGTGGTAGCAACCACTCTGAGTTTTGTTCCATATTTTCTCCCACTCTTTCCAAGACTCACGTTAAAAGGTCTTGGAAAGAGTGGGAGAAAATATGGAACAAAACTCAAAATCATAAAAAAAGAACAGAACTACTGGTAGGGACTGGTGGAACCCTGAGACTATGGCCTCTGGTCACCCTTTAGGTCTGGAACTGAACTCACCTCCACCTCAGCCCCGCCGCTTGCTTAATTTTCAGCTAAGCAATAGATACATATAGAGGGTGAGGTATTCATACCATAGAATGGTCAACCATTTGAAATCAAAAGGCCAGCATTTGCAAAAGGATGCAATTCAGCCAGGGAGGGAGAGAAGGGCCAAAGGAAACAGGAAACAAAGAGAGGAAGTGGGATAAGTGATGTTACACTGAGAGGACGGCAGTAGTTGAGATGAAACAAAGTGTGTGAATGAGAGGACGGCAGTAGTTGAGATGAAACAAAGTATGTGAATTGTTGAATTTAAGTAAAGCTGATGTTCTGCTCTGTAAACCCTCACTCAATTCACAATAGAATGCTAAAAAGAGAGACACCAAGCAGCAGGTGGTAGCACCAAGGCCCTGGGTTCAAATCTCAGCTTTGCTACTTACTCATCATGTGCTTTTAGATAGGATAGTTAAACTCTTTGGGACTCACTTTCATCATCTATAAAATGAGAATAAGAGAATCTCAACCTCCTAGAGTTGCTGGGGAAATAATGTGGAAGGCTCTTAGTCAAAACTGGCAATTGGCTGTCTCAAAAAGGGAGGGGACAGAAACCTGGATGCCAGTTTCAGCTCTGGTCACTGGATGACCCTGGGCAGATTACAGAACATCAGTCTCCCCTCCTCCCTAATGGGGAAGATTATCTTGGCTGACCTCTATGAACTGCTGGAGACCATGGAAGTCAATGGGATTGGAAAATGGGAAAATGCCAGTCAGATGTGAAAAGTATCATCAGAAATGCCACTTTAATGGTCCTACTAATAAGAGTGGCTGTTATCAGACCTAACAAATGGTAATATTGTTGTTAGGTGGTGTCCAGTCATTTCCAAATCACAATGACCCTGTATAGGGTTTCCGAGACTGTAAATCTTTACAGGAGCAGAAAGCCATATCTTTTGCCCTCAGAGTGGCTTGTGGGTTTGAACTGCTAACCTTGTTAGCAGTCCAATACTAATGCTACACAGCCACCAGCTTTAATTATTATTGTTGTTGTTGCTAAGTGCTATTGAGTCAGTTCTGACTGATAGTGACCCTGTATAGGGTTTCCATGGAGCACCTATTGGGTTTGAACCGCCGACCTTGCAGTTAGCAGTCCAGTGCTTATCCTACAGCATCACACCAGGACTCGGAGCAGCTGGTCTTTTGATCTGACTGATAGTGACCCTGTATAGGGTTTCCATGGAGCACCTATTGGGTTTGAACCGCCGACCTTGCAGTTAGCAGTCCAGTGCTTATCCTACAGCATCACACCAGGACTCCAATTCTTCTTATTATTATTTGTTGTTGTTAAATGCTGTCAAGTCAGTTCCCACTCATAGTTTCCAAAGCTTAAATCTTTGTGTGAAAAGAAAGCCTCATCTTTCTCCCGAGGAGCAGCTTGTGGGCTCAGGCAGCTGACCTCGTGGTTTGTAGTCCCTTATTGTACAAATCCACTGCGCTGGCTTTATTATTAGTATCACTCTTAAACACTCAGTATATGCAAGTGGAGTCCTGGTGTGGCACTGCAAGGTCGGTGGTTCAAACTCACCAGCAGCTCCTTGGAAACTCTATACAGGGTTGCTATGAGTCAGATCCAAATTGATAGCACATAACAATACCAACAATATGCAAGTAGTTTGGTAAGTGTTACATCATCATCATGCACTGTATCTTCGTTTCCCACTACAGTCTCTCAATGAAGGTTCTTTTACTCTGGAAACGGAAGCTCACAGAAGCTAAGAGTGTTGCCAACAATCACACAGCTTGTAAACAGGGGTACCAGGATTTGACCCTACATGTATCTGATTTTATGAAATTGGGTTTTTGGATCTCTGTACTGCCCTGTTTCCTCAGGGGCACTAGGGGCAGCTGGCTGGCTGGAAGGAACCCCAACAGGTCCAAAGGATCAACCACACTGATCAGATCAACTGTTAACAGGAGTGGTGGTGAGGGTTCCAACAGCCATCTGACAGCAGGCGGCTGATTGCATGAAGTCGGAGGTAACGGATTGGATGGATGGAAGCACTGAGGCCCTCTGAGAAGAACCTCTCATTAGCAGTAAGCCAGAAAGGAGGGTCTGAGATCCATCTCAGCATGCTTCCGGTCTGCCAGATTCTGACATCCATATTTGGCTGACACATCCTGTGACTAAGGAACTGCGGGAAGTCAGTAGGGTCACAGCAGGGCTTTATTAGGGAGGGGTGTCATAGGACTGTACCTCCTTTCTAAGGGCTGATCGGGGATGTCCCCACTTCTAGTTTCCACATCTCCTACACCTTCCATTTTATCCCCACAACTCGCTTCTAGTCCTTTCTCCTCACACTGGCCAGAAGAGGACAGAGAGGCTCTGGGAAGCTGAGCAGCTGGGCCCAGGAGCTAGAATGTGATGATGTGTTCCAGGCATCCCTGTCCCCGCCCACCCTGATGGGCACCTGTCATCCATCTCTAGAAACATCTGGGTCCTGGTGCTCAGCTTCCTGGGGACACTGCAGAGGGCAGATGGACAGTGGCATTTGGCTGGATAGGCTAGGGTGCGGGATTCCATGCTGGACACTGTAGCTCACCACCCAAACCCCACCCACCAGAATCCAGATCCTGCTGTCTGTTTCCACCAGTCCCACTTTCAAGTCTCTATCCCCTCCAGTCTCAGCCCAGATACACGTGCCACCCCATCATAAACAAGGGACAGAACATGTCACTGGGAGTCCAAATGCTGGCTTCTGAGCCATCTTTGCATCATGGGGTACCCAATAACCTCCTTCTTTGATGGTGGTTACTTGTGTTCCCACTTCTTGTCCCTGCTCTAGTTCCTGTCCCATCTCTCTTTAGCAGCTAGCACACTGACTGGCACACAGTAGGTGCTCAGTAAAGGTCTGTTAATGCGCAACAGAGTACTTACACTCACCTCCCCCACTCCAGAGAGAAACTTTAAAGCAGTATCTGTTCCTCATCATTCCTGCACTGCAGAGCCAGAAGGTGTGCAGGAAAATTCAGGGGACTAAACTTTGAGAAAATACATTTCTGCTCTTTAAAGCCGTCCACATGAGGAATTTCTGTTATTTCCAACCTAGGAGCTTACCGAGGGTCCAGCCTCTCCGGGGGTCCCAGTACCACCTGGAGTTCCAGGGTGGCCCTACCAAGAGAGAGAGAAAAAGGAGGGATCAGATGTGGGAGGTGCCTCTTCTTCCTTCAGTCCAGGCAGGCAGCAGGCAGGCCTCCCCCTCCCCAAAAAAGGGAAGGAGCGGGTCATCCCAAAGGTCCAGTGTGTGCAGAGGCAGTGGGGGCAGCCGAGCTGTCACCCAAGGCTGTGACAGGAGAGAGAAAGAGAATGTAGACTTACTCCTTACCATTGACCCCTTGGGTCCGGGAGCGCCTGGGGGTCCCATCATGCCCCGGTCACCCTGTGATGAAGATAGCAATTCAAGGAGTCATAGTTCTAGGGGGCGCTCTGTGAGGGACAGGTGCAGAGGGGCCTTCCAGAGGCCCAAGGTCTCCAGAGACAGTGATGAGAGTGGGTAGGGCTCTGGGAGGTTCCACATCCATGGCAGTGTGCCACACAGTGGGTCTCCCTGGGGCAAGGATGGTCCTGATTAAGGATGTACTAATTACATTGTCCCCTTTGATCCTGGCCCATGTCATGTGGTCCTCATTAGGCCTGGCATCTTCTAGGCTGGGCTGGCTGAGACGGATAGGGCAACAGAGGCATTTCCTTGCTTGTCTTACCCCACACCCCCACTCAAACCTAGATGACACACTGGAGCATTAGAGACAAGAGTCAGTCCCTCTTGACCAACCCAGCTGTACTGGACAGAGATGGTGGGTGTAGCAAACAGAGCTACAGTTGGGAGATAGGAGCTGTGGGCTCCAATCCTGGCTCTGTTTGGGGAGACCCTGTTTTATGAATCCATGCATCCAGCAAACATTTATTGAGTATATACTCTGTGCCCTGAGTTACGTGTCAGAGCCTGAAGATAAAATGGCGAACAGAAAGAGACAGCTCTTCCTCCCATGGAGAACAGAGCATAGTGAGGAGACAGGAACCACCATAACAAATGACAAGTTCCACCAAGGGCAAGGGCAGTGAGGGAGTGGGTCATGGTGCCAAAGCATAATATAGGGAAAACTGCCCCACCTGGGCGCAGGAGTGGTTAGAGAAGGCTTCCCTCAGGAAGTGTTGCTTGAACTGAAATGAAAGACAAGTATCATCCAAGCGGTGTGGCGCTGTGGGTTAATGTACCAGACTGCAAAGCTGTTTGAACTGCAAGGTTGATAGTTCAAGCTCACCAGCTGCTCCTTGGAACCCCTATACAGGGTCATTATGGGTCAGAACCGACTTGACAGCATAAAGGGGAGCGCTGGTGGCATATTGGGTTACACACTGAGCTACTAACTGCAAAGTCAGCAGTTTGAATCCACCAGCTGCTCCTCAGGAAAACGATGAGGCTTTCTACTCCAGTAAAGATTCACAGCCTCAGAAACCCTAGACAAGGTTGCTATGAGTCAGAACCAACTAGATGGACACAGAACAGCAACAGACATAAAGGGAGGTAGGTGGATGGGAAGAATGTACCTGGACAAGGTATTGTGTGGGCAATTGTTGGGAGACAGGAAGGGAATGAAACAATTGAACAACAAGAGGCAGCCAGAGTTGGTTTGGGCTGTACTATAGCTACCATGGGGAAACTGGGTGAAGGGTACATGAGATACCACTATACTGGTTTTCACAACTTCCTGTGAATCTATCATTATTTCAAAATTATAAAATGCTAAATGCAAAAGAAGATGAAAGCAATAGGGCATGGGACTTAAGGAGTGATGAGGATGGAGGTACAAGATTAAGTTGGAAAGGTAGGTGTTTGGTGGGTGCTTCCTGTCTCTGGACTTACTTCTCTCTGTCCAGGGGAAATAATATGGCTCTCGGAATCAGATGGGAGTTCTGGTGTGGCACTGTGGGTTAATGCGCCAGACTGCAAAGCCGTTTGAACTGCAACGTTGGCAGTTCAAGCTCACCAGCCGCTCCTCGGAAACCCTATACAGGGTCGCTATGGGTTGGAACTGACTAGATGGCACTTAACAACAACAGGAATCAGATGAGCCCATACTAAGGAAAGCACTTACCATCCAGGGCCCATAGTGGGGGCTGGGAAGCCATAGGCTGTGTTAGAGCTGGGAGCCAATGTGCCGCAGAGTGGTTAGACAGCAAAATGTGGCTTTTGGTATTGAAACCGATTGAAGTCCCAGCCCTGCCACTTACTATCTGGGTGATATTTAATAAGTTAACTCCTCTCTTTGAGCCTCAGTTTTCGCATCTGTGAAATGGAGCTGCTGGGGAAGTTAGCCAGGCAACATCTGGAACGATGCTCCTATTTTTAAAAGGTGAAGCCTTACCTCCCGCCCTGAAGCCCACCTCCAAGCTAGGCCAGTGGGTGGCCATAAGGAGCCCAGAATTAGCTGGCTGTCAAAAGTCTAACTGTGTTTGAGGGCAAGACAGAATCTCCAGGAGATGTCGGAAAGGGGACAATGATCTTTGAAAGTCTGGAATGTCCAGGCAGTGGGGCAGAAGCCTCAGGAAAGCCTGACACGCCCCCAGGTCAGCTGCCCCCTTCACCCTTTAAACATCTTAATACACAAGCTCTATTTTTTTTGTTCCCCCTCAACATAGCTTACCTTTTCTCCCACAATCCCTGGTTCCCCGACCAGACCAATGAAGCCCAGCAGACCCTGCAAGAAACGTTTATGGAGGTGAGACAAAGAGGGAAACAGCAAGAATTCAGGGACATGCTGAGTTGTTAGGGCAACTCACTTGCATTTTCCTTCCTCTGAATCTCAACTCCCTTCATCTCCCCTGCCCCATGCTGGTTAATCCGGCAGCCTGGGGCTGCCACTGTGGAGAGCTGGCCTCTCTCTGGGCACCAGGCTCACTTCCCTCACTCCACCAGATGGTTCTGATTTTGGAGCCAATGGTGGGACTGCAGCCAGCATCCCTGGGAGCACCACACATTCTTCCCGCGCCAGGAGCGGGCTGGGAGTGGGTGGGGGCAGCGGGGCGGCCTTTAAGCTGTGCTGGGAAGAAGACTGTTTGTGAGAAATCTGTCCCCATCTTTTAGGGCCTTGGGGCCATTTCAATGAGAGAAACAAACCCGTTGGCTGAGATAGAAATAACCTAAGAGTATCTGCCAAGAGATCTGATTGAAATTTGGGAAGTGGAGGTCTTTTTCTGTTTTCTGAAATGCTTCCTCTCGTCACACACACTGTGGTTCCCGTTTTCTGACTCCCTGGGTGAGAAGTTGCTCTGTGTTCCAGGGTTTCTCCCAGGTGGCTGCAGGCCTCCCTGTGTCTTTCTGAGCTCACAGATAAGCACACACACAGCGAGAGGGAGAAATTTAGGAAGTCAGGGCCCCCCATTTCTTGGTAATGTCCTAATCTCATCACTGCTAGGGAAAACACAAGCGCAACCTGTTCTTGTGTGGTTCAGAGATTCAGAAGTGGCTTTGGGAAAGCCCAGAGTTTCTAGGAGAATTAAGAAAGACTGAGGTATCAGTAGGTTTTACTCCATAGAAATCTCTCCCCAGACATCAAAATCTAGCCAGAGAAGAGTAGGACCTTGGGTCTGAATGGAAACAGGTCTGAAGTCATGGGCTCAGGAGGTACCGCTGCCCCACCTGTCAGTTACTTTGGGTGAGGGGACACCAACCAATTTCAAAGGGACTGCCTTTGTGAGCAGTTTAAAAGTGGTCACACAAGCCAGAAACACACCTGCCTATGCTGTTGCAGCCAGGATTCAACTATGCTCCACTTGGTTCCAAAACCCAACACATCTCCCTCCACCCTGAGGCCTCCAAAGTGGGTGGCTGTGCACAGATCTCCCTGGCACCCTGGCACTACTGCCACATGGGGACCCTGAACCAGACCCAGTTCCCTGAACCCAGAGGCCCCTCAGAAGTGATGTATGAAGGGTGAGGGAAAGGACAAGGTATGAGGACATGGCTAATATGTGATAGAGAATAACCGAGGACTTGGTTTGGGAACAACTTACTTAAAATATAAGTTAGAACATTTTCAAGATGACGAAATCATGGCTACGATTTATTCAGCACTTTCTATCTAACAAGCCCTTTTGCTGGCACTTTATCTATGTTGGAGACCTTTAGACAATTTCAGAGCCTCTCTCAACCTGACTAGTAGATAGAACGCAGGAAGACGAGGGTTCAGAGGATTCGAGATAATGTATGGCACACCCGGGCATTCCATAAAAGTTCATTCCCTCTCATCCCACCTTAAATTCATTTTGAAAGACCCCAGGGTTAAGGCAGAGGGTCGAGCACCCCATAAGAGAGCCCTCAGACACTTAAAGAATGCGAATGAAGGGAATAAAAACTGCTCTGTTCAGAGGCACCTACTTGACTGGCCCAGAGAAACAGAAATTTCATAATTACTTGAAATTTATGAGTTGTTGGGTCCTGGAAGACAGGCAGCCATAAAGCTCAAACAAGAAGCCAAACAGGATCCTAATGAATAAGGACCATACAGCAAGTACCCCATCCCTGCTCCCCACGCTGGGACCCCCAGGGCACTGTCCCAGAACATCCTGGCAAGTCGCCTGTGGGTGGAGCTGAGGCAGGAGCAGGGAGGGTGGAGATGGCTTTGAAAGCCGCTAGGGACACGGCTGGGTCCTTCTGAGCTGGCAAGTGGGCACAGGGGAGGAGGGAGCATGCTACCTGCAGCAGGCATTGCAGACAGGATCCGAGCCCTGGTCCTCACACTGACCACAGGCAGATATAGGACCACTGTTCACTATAAGAGTTTCTCTGTCTCCCTTCTTTCTCACATAGTACATTCTGCTGGGCGCTGGGGGTGAAACTAAGAACAAGATGGGCATAGATCTCTTCAGGGACTAGACGTTTCAGAGTTTGGTGTCTGTATGCCTGGCTTCTCAGTTGGACAAAACCTCTTAAAGGCCCATAGCTTGTAACCATCCTGCATTCCCAGCACCTAGAACAGGGCCCAGCCAGCAGTCTGTGCTCCCACGAGCTGCTAGAGAAAGACAAAGGCTTGAGGAAGAGAAAGTGTTTTCCAGCCCCTCCTGATCAGGTGGAGAGCATGGCTTTGGAAATCCAGAGACCTGAATGTTTGGGCTCTGACAGTTACCATCTGTGTGATCTTGGGTAAGTTACTTAGCTTTGTAAAATGGAGATAATACGGACGCCATAGGGTTGTGTTGGAGGCAATTGCAGGCAATGGCGTATAAAGTGCTTGGCACAGAGCCCGGTACAGAACAGGTGTCCAGTAAATACAGCTGCGACTGTTATTTTAAGGAGTTCTTGTAGCATGAGCTTCACAACTCTTTCCTAGGGTTCTCTCCTCTGTGATCATTCAGTCATGAACAGGAAATGGCTGCTCCTTCCCCATGACCACATGGGGAGAGTGCCACAAGAGCTCATCTGCTTTAAAACTCAGACAGGTCTCTCTTTCTTGTAATGGTCCAAGCGCGCTGGGCAGTTGGCTAGGGACTCTGGTGACAAGTGGGTGGCTCTGTGGCTTTCCTGGTTCTAGCTTGGTCACTACCCAGCTTACTTATCTGAATCGAGCTTCTTTTTCATGAACCCCAGATTGACTAGAATCCAGGGGTTCTCCCCTGAGGTCCATGGAAGTCTCCATGGATCAAATTTAGGACGTCTGTGAATTTGAATGGGAAAGATGGCAACATTTAATTTCACTAACCTCTAACTAAAATTTAGTTCTTCCTTCAGATGTGAATGTAGGCAACAACAAACCACAGTGGTATTAATTACTACTTGCAACTTGGCCATAGCTATTTTATGTCTTATTTCAGTCATTGCTGCAGAGATCACAAAAAATTATATCATTAAGACCTGTCACCTCTTCAAAACTAAGGTAGTTCTTAGACCTGATGCTTGTTGCTGTTGTTAGGGGCCATCTAGTTGATTCTAACTCGTAGTACAACAGAACAAAACATTACCTACTTCAATGCCATCCTCACAATTGATGCTATGTTTGAGCCCACTATTGCAGCCATTGTAACAATTCATCTTGTTGAGGATCTTCCCCTATTTTACTAACCCTCTACTTCACCAAGTATGCTATCCCTCTCCGGGAACTGGTCTCTCCTGATAACATCTCCAAAGTATGTGAGACACAGTCTCCTCATCGTGGTTTCTAATGAGCATTCTGGCTGTACTTCTTCAAAGACAGATCTGTTCATTCTTCTAGCTGTCCGTGGTATATTTTCTACTCTGTCAATACTATACTTGAAATACATCAATTCTTCTTTACTCTTCCTTGTTCATTGTCCAGCTTTCACATGCATACAGAGTGATTGAAAATACCATGGCTTGGGTCAGAAGCACCTTTACCCTCAAAGTGACATCTTTGCACTTTAACTCTTCAAAGAGGTCTTTAGCAACAGATTTACCCAATGCAACATGTCTTGATTGCATGTCTTTGATTTCTTGATTGCTGCTTCTATGGGCATTGGTTGTGGATCCAAGCAAAATGAAATCCTTGGCAATTTCAATCTTTATTCCCTTTATTATGATGTTGTTTATTGGTTCAGTTGTGAAGTTTTTCTTCTCTTTAAGTTGAGATGTAATCCATATGAAAGGTGTAGTCTTTGATCTTCATCAGTAAACCCTCTTCATTTTCTTAGATTGTTAATGACTCTTCCTTAATCCTGATGTTTCTTCATATTCCAGTTTCTTGGATTATTTGCTCAGTACACAGATTGAATGAGTATGGTGAAAGAATACAACCTTGACATATACACACTTTGCTTGACTTTAAACCATGCAGTAGCCCCTTGTTCTATTCAAACAACTGCCTCTTGATCTATGTACAGTTCTGCATGAGCACAATCATTCCAGAATTCTCATTTTTAGTTATCTATATTTGTTAGTGTCCACACAATGTAATGTCTTTGTATAGTCAATAAAACACAGGTAAACATCTTTTAGAATACTCGTATGTCACTGTAGGATAAGTACTTGACTGCTAACTACACGGTTGATGGTTTAAACCCACCAGTTGCTCCTTGGAAACTATACAGGATCAGAACTGACTCCACGTCACTTAACAACAACAACAATTATCTTTCTGGTATCCTCTACCTTCAGCCAAGAGCCATTTGAAATCAGCAATGATGTTCTTCATTCCATGTTCCCTTCTGAATCCAGTTGGCATTTCTAGCAGTCCCCTGTCACTGTGATGCTGCAACCATTTTTTAATTATCTTCAGAAAAAAAATTTGACTTGCGTGTGATGTTAACAATACTGTTAGATCATTTCTGCATTCTGCTGGATCACCTTTCTTTGGAATGGCACAAAAATGGATCTCTGAGTTGGTTGGCCAGGTAGTTGTCTTCCAAATTTCTTGACACAGCTGAGTGAGTGCTTCCCACATTGCATTATTTGTTGAAACGTCTCAACAGATGTTCCATCAATTCCAGAATACTTGTTTTTTGCCTTCAGTGAAGCTTGGAAATTGATGACTTCCAATTTTCCTAGATTCATACCTTGTATAGTCCATTTTCTGCTTATTAATGAATGTTTGCTGCTATTTCTTCTCATTTTGAGTCTTGCCACATCCCCAAAGCTTTATTCCTTCCACATCATTAAGGTCTACTCTACACTGAGGAGGCAGCACTCCCCTAGTCATATTTTGAGTGCCTTTCAATGTTATCTTGTGGCACTCTATCAGTGTTCTGTTGCTATCCATGAGGTCTTACCAGGACAATTGTTTCAGAAGTAGGTCACAAGGTCCTTTCTCCCATTCTGTCTAAGTCTGGAAGCTCTGTTGGAAACTGTCCACCAAGGGTGACCCTGCTGGTACTTAAAATAGCTGTGGCATAGCTTCCAGCATCACCGCAACATGCAAGCCACCCCTGTATAACAGACTGACAGATGAGTATGGCGACCTGCTACTAGATCTAATTATCTAATCAACTAAAGAAGCATATATATGCATCTATTACATTTTAAAGGAACTCTGGTAGCGTAGTGGTTACGAATTGGGCTGGTAATCTCAAGGTTAGAAGTTAGAAACTACCAGCTATTCTGCAGGAGAAAGATGAAGCTTTCTGCTCCTGTAAAGATTTACAAGCCTCGGAAACCCTGTGCAGGGTCGCTATGTGTCGGAACCGACTCCACGGCACTTAACAACAACATTACATTTTAACATAGTTCCATATGTTATATGAAATCCTTTTGTTTTTTATTTTATACATTTAAACTCTCTATTCTGAAAAGGCATCTATGGGCTTCAAAACCACAAAAAGAAGTTAGGTGCCCCTGGATAAAGTAACTCCCAGAGACCCTTTGGTTAAGAATATTGAAAGTACCATGGACTACCAGAAGAATAAGCAAATCTGACTTGGAAGAAGTACAGGCAGAACACTCCTTAGCAGCCAGGATGGTGAGAGTTTGTCTTGCTTATGTTGGACATGCTATCAGGAAGGGCTAATCCCTAGAGAAGCAGGGCATGCAATAGTAAAGTAGAGGGTCACTGAAGACAAAGACCTTCAATGAGAAGGGCTGGCACAGTGGCTGCAACAATGTGAGGATGGCACAGGACCAGGAAGTGTTTTGTTCTGGGTTACTATGAGTTGGAACCAACCCAACGGCACCTAACAACAACAGGAACCCTTTGTCTCCTGACATTCGAGGATTCTGAGTGTCTATTTCTCCAGGGCTCTACCGCCAGCATAACTATGAAATTAAATTTGCTGATCGTATTGCCTTTTATTTTTCCAATCAGGAAATATATCCAGGCTGTGGCAACCCTTCCAAACTCCTGGGCTTCCCACAGAATGTGCTCAAATGACACTGGAAAGATTTCAAAAATCTGAGCCTCCCCTTGTTTTAATTCCTTTCTTCCCCCAACAGATGTTTCAGGCCTGGTGAGGAAGCCCATCGCGTGCAAGTCTCACGCCATCAATGGTGCTTCACAGCGCAGCCAGATTCTTCTGGGCCCCCAACATCATTCTTCTTCCTTCCTGAGGCAGCCCCCTCCATGGTTCTTGAGTGGATGGGGGTGGCGGTCCTTCAGTAAAGGAGTAGGAGAGAGTGCCACCTTCCATGCTTACAGTCCAGAGATCAAGCATTCAAGAAGCGCTCTCGGGCCTGGGCAAAGAGATTGAAGCTGTCGGTTCTCCAGCATTTGGAGCTGCAGCTGTCCAGCACCCAGAGCCCTGCGCTTGGATAATTCAACAGCATGACCTCAAAGCTCCTCTTTAATGGCTGGTTGTCACCTCTTCTCCTGTTCAGACTTTGGCCCAGCTTCCCACTGGCCAGAGCTGCCAGTTTGAATTTCACTGTCTGTAATTTAGGGATGTCTGCACCAACAGCTTCTGGCAAACAGCTACACTTCTCCAATCTCCAGCTTCCTCGTCTGCACACCAAGGGGGAGCACAGACAATGACCAGTCAGGGTTCTTCCAGCTTGAAAGCTCTGGGAGCAAAGTTACATAACCTCATTGGATTAGTTTAGTGCATCAAAAATATCCGCTTTTTCATCCAGTGACTTTATCTGAGATTCAGCATCCACATCAATGAAAGGGGGAAGATGAGCAGATTAACCTGGGGAGCTGTTATGTAACCTGGTGATGTATATAGAGTGCTCAGCACAGGGCTTAGCACACAGTAAATGATCAATAAACAGAGTCACAGTGTTCAGAAACTTACCAGCTCGCCCATGGGCCCAGGACGCCCAGGATTCCCTGGTTCTCCCTGCAAAGAAACAAAGAGGAGAGTCACTTAGAATGGTGGGTGGGAGCCTAGACCTTCTGAGGAATTTTTAAGTTACTAGGCTGAGTCCCTTTGGTAGGGATGACCCAGGAATTTCATGACCAAAGTTTGGCTGTAGAGACCCCAAATAAATAGCAGGGACAAAGGGACATTTGGACAGAACCTCTGGCCCGAGAGATGAACTAACTAAACAAACATGCCTGAGTGACCCTTGACATTTTACCAAACACCCTGATGTTCATAGATCATTTAGGTCCTTATTGTTGTTGTTAAGTGCCATCGAGTCAGTTCTGACCCATACATAGAAACCCTGTACAGGGTTTCCGAGGAGCAGCCAACCTTATGGATCAAACCAACTTTGCAATTCAGTGCATTAACCCACAGCACCACACCAGGACTCCCGGGTCCTTGTTAGCCCATTGCATTTTGTGGAGGTGGAAATGGAGGCCCAAGGTCTCACAGTGAGCTAGAGGTAGGGCTAGACTTGACCCTCGGTTTGCCTGAATTAAATTCTCATTTCTACTCCAATCTGCCATGCCACCATAGGAAGAGCAGGGAATTGAGGTCCGCAACCAGTTCTTGGGTGACCTTCATGAGTCTGTCTCTGCCCTGGGTGAGCTTGGTCTCCTCAGCTATAACACGAGCTCGTGACCAAGGCTAAATGCCCAGTGTGTATCACAGCCTTGGTTATCAGCTCCATCCACGGGGTGGCTCCTGTGTTTTCAGCCAGCTGGGAGGGGAGAAGGCTGCCCTTTTGAGTCCCTGAAGCCTCTGGAAATTAGGGGCAGGGGTCAACGTAACCAAATCAGTGTGAGTTGAAGAGAAGTGGCCAGGCATGGGATAAGGTAGCAGACAAAATCTACCCTGGACTTGTCACTGCTCCTACCACAAAACCCCGCTGGTGTCTGAGGAAACAAGGCTGAGACCTCAGAGGACAGGACATGGGAGTTTTCCACAACACTTTGGCTCAAAGATGGATTTGGCTCATCCCAACCCTGGTCAATCAGAGCATCAGCCTTCCCACAAGCTCCTTCCTCAGACCTCACACTCACAAAAACCAGAGGGGCCAGGACAGATGGGTGGGCCATTTCCCTTGAGGGAAGAGGAACGGAGTTCTTTGCCTTAAGCCTCTGCTTGTCCATGGGAAAATCCAACCCGCCAAGGGGAGCCTTGAAAAACCATTAAGTGAGGCTTCCTCTCCTACCTTAGGTCAGTTTTCTTTCGATTACTTACAACAGAAAGAACTACTGTTAACAAAAGTAATATATTTTTGTGGAAAAACCTGGGAATGCATAGTGGTGATTGTTGGACCCCATGATGAATGTAATCAATGTCACTGAATTGACATGAAAAAAATGCTGAAATGGTAAATGTCATGCATTTTTTTTTTTAGCATAATAAAATACTTTGGGGAGTGTTGTGGATCCACATGATAAGCACTGGACTATGAACCACAAGATCTGAGGTTCAAGCCCACCAACCACAGGGGAAAGATGAAGCTTTCTGCTCTTGTTGAAGACTTAAAGCCTTGCAAGCCCTATACGGGCCACTATGAGTCAGAACCAACTCAACAGTACTTACCAACAATAAAATATTTTAAAGAGGGAATACATATTCATTATACACAGTGGGGAAAATATATAGGCTCAGAGGAGGAAATAAAAGTCTCTTATAAACCTAACATAGTGGATTAAGCACTGAGTTGATTACCACAAGGTTGGCAGTTCAAACTCATCAACCACTCCATGGGAGAAAGATGAGGCTGTCTGCTCCCATCAAGATTCCGTCTCAGAAACAGTAAGGAGCAGTCCTGCTCTACCCTACAGGGTCACTGTGAGTCAGAACCAACTCAACAACAGTAAGTATAACCCCACCCATTCATGTTCCAGCTGTGGAGTTGGTTCCGACCCATAGCGACCCTGTGTAGGGTTTCTGAGAAGCGGCTGGTGAGTTTCAGCTGCCAGCCTTTCATTCACACTAACCTCGTGGCCCAGTGCTTATCCTACAGTGTCATACCAGAACCCTGCTCTGTGCATAGAGTGACATAATGCAACCCAGTGCTGCAATTGGCTCACTTTGAACCAAAAGCAAACCCAGTGCTATCGAGTCCATTCCAACTCATAGCAATCCTACAGGACAGAGTAGAAGTCCCCCCTAGACTTTCCAAGGCTGTAGAGTCTTTATGAAAGCCCACTGCCACATCTACCTCCCACTAAGAGGCCTGTGGGTTTGAACTGATGACCTTTTGCTTAGTAGCCAAGTGCTTAACAACTGCATCACCAGGGTTCCATACCTTCCCATTTTATCACCTGCTCTGATCCTGCCTGCCACGGCATTTCCTCATCTTGACTTTTAGATGTTCCACAAGACCATCTTATAGGGTAATATTCAAGAAGTATCCTATATATTATCCTATTGCTTGAATAAAACCCTACAGTTGGGGTAGTTTTCCTGTTTCAAATGTTCGGTTGTTCTCTGTTACAAACACTTAGTGATAAACCAAGACCCTTTCCTCCACTTTACACAGCTGGCTGTGGGATTTAGGCCTTGTCCTTCAATCCTCATAAGTTAGTTAGCTCCCTCTTTTGTGCTCTTCAGGCATTCTCCCCCTGCCCCCTCCCAGCCCAGCTTCCATCCCCAGGTGCCCTCACCTTCAAGCCATCTGGGCCAGGCTTCCCAGGAAAACCCTTCCTGCCCAGTAGACCCTGCAACAGAGAGAGAATAGAAGGAGCTGAGCGGAGCAGCATTCTGGAGGTCCAGGGGATCTGAGGCTGGCCACAGCATCACAGGGGGTCAGCTGTGCTGGGACTGCAGGGGGGTCTCCAGCTATGAGCTTAGGCAAGGTCCCTCCCTGTCTGTACTTATTTGTAAATGGAGATGATGACACCAGCTTTCAAGGGGTGAAAGAAAGAAGGGGTGTTGACAGAGTACAAAGGGTACAGATAAGAGGAGCGTGTGGTCTGGGTGTCCTTGGGTGTCCCTGAGACCCTTTCAGGAGGTCAAAGATATTTGCAAAATAATATAAAATGTCATTTGCCTTTGCTACTCTCCTCTCATGAGCATAAGTGTTGAGTGATATTGCAACAGACAGAAAGAAGCAACAGATATGAGAATCTAGCTGTCGTCTGTTAAACCAGGCATTAAAGAGAACTGCAAAAAAAGGGTTTTTAAAAAAGGCACTATTTTCAGTAAAGTATTTAACTTTGGATACTATAGCTATTTTTCATTCATAACACTATAATTTGTTTGTTGAACATAACTAGGTTATTATTCCTCTTAAATGAATTCATGGATAAATATTTTTTCAGTGTCTCAGCTTTAATAACTCATATAGTTAAGTATTGATAAGGGTAACCTACAAACACAAAACACTCTGAGGTCCTCAATAAGTTTTAAGATTATAAAGGGGGACTGACCAAAATATTCAAGAACAGCTAGTTTGTGCAGTTGTTGGGGTTTTACAGGGCTTCTAGGAAGCTGCTTGGAGCAGCAGAAAGAATGCAGGCTTAGGTCCCAAAAGGGGTGTCTCCGCTTCCTGCCTGTAAGATACTGGGATAACCCCCAAGTCCTTGAGCCTCATTTTCCTCCCCGCTAACGAAATTAAGAAAGGGGTGCCTCTCTCCTGGGAGAATCAAAGGAGAAAATGGGCTCAAAGCACCCAACACATAGTAGGTGCAGTGTAATTGGACAGGTTACTGTCTCTTGTCTCTCCTCTGGGATCTGTCCTAGTCTTCTCTCCGGCTGGCCCCATGGCCCCTTGTCCTCCCTGATGCTGTTCACCTGTCCACAACTAGCTCAGCTCTGAGCACTTCCTCCCCAGGCCAACAACCACTCACCTCCAAGCCAGGTGCCCCTGGTGGCCCCATGGGTCCCTCATCGCCCTAGAGTCAGAAGACAGGAGAGAGGAAAAAGGGAGAAAGTTAACCCAATGGAGTTCTTACAAAGTTTGTCCTATCAGGAGGGGAATGAGTGGACAGAGGAGAGTCTCTCCTGGACAAAGAGAAATGGGGAAGATGGACAGACCTGGGCTCCCAGCCCCACCCAGAGCAGAGGCTCCAGCAGCTATGGCCTAGATATCTGGGCAAACAAGGTCTCCATATCATCTGAATAGGGTCAGTACGGGGAGCATTGGCATCGTGTACTGTAGGGAAGAGAGCTTCAGCTTGTAGCTTAACAAGAAGGGCCTTTCTGCTGAGCTCTGCCGTGTACACACTGGCAGACCTTAACCTCCGCGTGCCTCAGTCTCCCCATCTGTAAAACAGTGTAGAGTGGAGAAGGTCTTCCTTCAGCATGATGACTGGTTTAAGCTGAGCTATTAAAGGACACGGATGAGGTTGCTAAAGGACATTATTCTTTTTTGAAACCATGGCCTAGGCATCACTTTGGGTGGAACGTGCATGGAATGGGCGTGTGGTGAGAGGGGAGATGATGAATGAACGTGTGTAAGAACAAATGAATAAATGAGTCAGTGAATGACTGAACACATCAGCTAGTGCTTTCTTGAGCTGTAATGCGGTGTAGACAGATGCATGTTGCTGATGTTGTCTTTCCCACCTCGTTGCTCCTTTCCTGCTTCTCAACAGCAGGGACTCTCCAGATCCTCCCCCAGGCCCAGGAGCCTCCAAACTGGCCCCTTTTGGCATGCTAGTCCTGACCAAGGGTCTCCCTCTAGAGCCAACCCTCCTCCCCTGCCTCTTTCCCCCAGCTTCCAGGAAATGGCTCCATGTGGTGGCTCCCAGAGCTACAACCAGCCCTGAGGGGGGATCCATGTCAGCAGGATGTCTGCCTGCGGTCCTGGTGAGAACCAGCCTCCTGCCCTCTCTCCCAGGGCTATGTGTCAGGGCAGTCCTGGGTTTTCAGTCAAGGTGAGTACTGGGGGTGGGCACAAAGGAGGGCTACATACAAAGAGCAAACGGTGGTTTAGGTTCTCCAGTGGCTGCTCCATCAGGCCCACAGGGACAGAAGCATCCTGACCCTGGATCCCTCTCACCACTCACACATGAGCAAACCTTTATTCTGCAGTGACCAGCTATGTGACCCTGTGTAAGTGATGTCATTCTCTGGGAACCGGAAGGCGGCAGCCCCCGGCCAGTGCCATATGCTTTGGGTTCAAACAGGCCTGGGGCTGCTGGCTTCTGGTTCGCAGACAATGACATCTCTGGGAACCAGAAGGATTGAGTTTGGGCTCAATCCTGACTCTGCCTGCTGCTAACTGTGGGACCTGAGTCTTATCATCTGTCTCCGTCTCAGTGGACTGACCTGTAAAACGGAGCTGACAATCCAACCCTCCTTCAGACTACTCACCTTGAAGAACTGTGCTCCTGTGAGCTGGGGCAGTGGTAGGACTCAGGGTAGTGGGGTTAGCCCAAGACGGGGAGTGACCTGTTCTGAGTGACTAGAGTAGAGGAGGGCCTGGAAGGCTCATGGGGCAGGTGGTAAAGGATGTTCTGGTGGGCACGTCTGAGGCAGCCCTGTGCTATGTCTTAACTAAAGGGCATTGGGTGTGGGGGGGAGGAGACGAATAGAGGGCAGGCAAGGTCAGATGGTCTCACCTCTAACCCTAGCTGCCCTTGGGGTCCCGGCAGGCCTCGAGCTCCAGGCTTACCCTGGAAAGAAGGGGACAAAGGGGTCTCAGAAGTGTCACAAAACACCCCCTACTTCCAAGCCAGTCCTTAAGGCCTGTGGTTTCCACAGCACTGTCTGATTCATCACCTGGAGCCACCCTGGGCAGAGACTCACCTTCATGCCTTCTGGGCCATTGTCCCCGGGGGAGCCAATATCTCCAGGGAATCCCTGAGGGGAAGCAGAGAGAAGGGTCAACCACAGGGACTGTGAAGGGAAGTTCTAAGAGTTGTGTCTGGAAGATGGACAGACCTGGGCTTCCATCCCATCCTGCTGGGATGGAACCCTGGGCAGGTCAGTTAACCTCACTTATAAATGGGGATGGTAAATTCAACATTTACTGCTCAGAGTTTCCGAGAGAATTAAATGAGAATTTGCACGGGGAATAGGTGCATACAAGGGCATTGGATGGACCCAGAATAGCCCCGTGTTGTATGGCTGCTGAGAAGCAGCTGTGGGTGTGTGGAGATGTTGTCCCCCTTAGCCCAGGAGGAGGTCAGGCAGGGCCTTGGGAACCCCAGCACAGCCAACCTGCCCAAGAAATCTCTTCCTTTAACTGCAAGGAACCTGCAGCTAAGACTATTTTTGAGATTGGCTGTAGCCTTGAAAGACTTGAAAACACAGTCTAATCAGTCTCGTTCCTCGCCTGAGTGGAAATCCCCTCCCCTACTGGCCAAGCAGGGTGGACTTTGCTCACACCACCACCAGAAGCTGCCATCCACCCAAGCCTGACTAGAGGACTACGCAGCAGAAAGTTCTTCCTGAAATGGAACAGATATGAGGAGCTTCAAAAAGTTCATGGAAAGATTCCATTATTTTAAAATTCCATTTCCCCACTAACTTTCTAAGCCCCCTCATATATCCCTTAATATACTAGTGCCACCCCTCAGGGACCTAGACGGCACAGGGGACTTCTTCCCTACAATGGCCTTTTGCACAATCTGGAGACTGGTCACCCTACCCACCCCCATAAGCCTGCCCTTCTCTGGTCCTTAACTGTTTGTAGTCAGGTGACTAGGGCTCCTCAGGTCGACTGCTTCTGTGTTACTTATTTTCCCAAGACTATGGAAACCCTATACAGGGTTGTTATGAGTAGGAACCAACTCGACAGCAACAAATGATCACCAGGAAGTCCATGGATGTAGAGAGGCCAGTGTGGAACATCCCCTTCCTTGTTTAGGTGCTATACCTCTGTTAATCCAGCCTAGAACCTCACTGGCTTTCAGAGCTGCCCTACCACTCTCTCAGTTTCCTGTGATCACAATCCACCCTCTGCTTTGCCTTCACGTTGTTTTTCTTTCCCTTTTTACCTTTAGTAAGTTCTGGTAAATCTCAACTTAAGTACAGTCTCACCCTTCTCACCAAACAAAATCAAGAACAGTCCTGAATTTAGAGTTAACACAAGATGCCAAAGTCTCCAAGATGAGAGGCTTGAAATCTTATTCTGCCACAGACTCACTGTGTGACCAACAGGCCTCAGCTTCCTCATCTGTAACATGCTGCTCAAATGGAACCTCATGAGGAAAGCCCTCTTGGCTCAGTGTATGGCCCTTGGTAAGCGCTCAATAAGAATCTGAATCCAAAATGACCTAGAGTCCAGTGTCGCGGGAAAGCCAGTTAGCCTAGGGTGGTCTCATCTCCAGTGTGAACTTGGCGACTGGGATTGAATTTTGTGCTCACACACATTTAGCCCATTGATGAGTGAAAGAGATACGTCAGCTGGGAGCACAATTGGGAATGATCTCTGGGGGAGGAGACAGAGAACCAACTGAGAAGAGCCATCTTTTGGATCCTGAGTCAGCCAATCAAAACAGAACAGAAATATGGGAGAGGCAGACCCCAGATTTATCCAGGGACTCAGGGCAGAGCCAACGTAGGCCTTATTCCCTACCAACCAGCAGAGATACTCTGAGGAGGCCACTGCTGGGTTCTGTAACTCCATTTCCTTGCCTGCAAAATAAAGGTAGGAGCATTTCTCTCACACAGTTATAGTGAAGACGCAACAAGGCTCCTGGCACCCAGAAGCACCTCATTGGCCAGACTGCTGGGAAACTCAGACACATAGGGATCAGGAGGGAACCAGAGCCATGGCCGTGGAAGAGAGGCCAACTCCATTTGTCTAAAGATAGGCCTGTGTTGGGGCCAAAGTCAACACAGTAGAGTCTGAACTTCAGGAAACATTCCTAATCCATCCGGGCCATACCAGGAGTGATCGTTGGGAGATCCCAGAAAACCCCAGTGGAGCCAGATGTTTGGTTCAGTTGGAGAGTCCTCATGGACAAGCAAAGCTGGGAGGCCAGTGAGTGATGGGGGTTTCGGCTGGGACTGGCTGGGACCCACAGGAGGGCTGGGTGGAGACAATACTGAAGACAATAGCCCTTGTTCCTGCTCAGTTCAGTTCTCTAACAGAATCCTCAGGAGAAAAAGCGGGGGACAAGGAGAATGCAGTAGCTCCCTCACTCCGGGAGGGACTGCAGAGCTGTACTTGGTGGGCGGAGGGGTGGGGAGATTTAGGTCAGGGTCCAGGCAGTGGAGCCCAGAGGATTTCCTGACAGCTTTTCTAGAAACTGTAAGAGTGGTAGAGGTCACACAAAGCTGGGGGGGAAACTCTGAGGCTACTTCTTGTCTTCACTACCTTATAAGAGAGTCTCTGGATAAACTTGGAGGAGTGGATGTTTCTCTCCCATTTTTCACTTGCTGTGTGACCTCCAGCAAGTCCCTCCCATTCTCTGGGTCTCAGTTTCCCAAGGACAACATCATGTCCCAGCTGCAGCCAGAGACATGAGGCATCACATACCTCAGGTCCAGGGGGCCCAGGAAACCCAAGAGATCCTTTGTCTCCAACTTTGCCCTGCAGAAGGGAAGAGATGGCAGGAAGTAGGTCAGTGAGGACCCAGAAACTCCTTGGGTTATTCCCATGACTTTGATGGTTGGAAAGGTTCAAGAGGCTGTGGATGAAATCTGCCTAGACACATGGAAGGAACTATTGTTGAAACCCTGCCTCCACTGCTTCCGCACAACAGGTCCTGTAAGTCACCTCACCTTGAGGACGCAACAAGGCTGAAACTGAGGACCCTCAGTTTCCTTACCTGTAAAATGGGAGCAATCGTACAAGCTTTCAAGAGTGTGTTTAGATTCAGAACGAGAGGGATAAGGTAGAATCCCCACTGAACAGCTCTCCTCTTGTCCAGATGGGTCTGGAGAAAGGGGATGAGGTAGGATGGGGATAGGATTTTGATTCAATAGTGAGTAATTATTATCATGACTAATTGTGATTGTCACAACTATAAATGTAGAAGATGTGAAACAAAAAGGCGGGGAGTAGTTAATCGTGCATTTCAGGAACAGATTATCCTAGAACCATCAAGAGGGAAGAGTATGAGCCAAGTATGGGATACTAACCAGAAAAGCGATGACAGTTGAGATGGAAGCAGAGGCTATGGCACAGAGAGACAGAGGAGCTGAGGACTTTAAACATGTGGAAAGAGAAAGGATACGTGCCTGCAGACAGGAGGCTGGCTTGCAAATGTGCCCTTTGGTTATTTAAACGAATATACATTTTATGTGTTTTGTGTACATCAAAAAAAAAAAGAGGGAATAGAGGTAAATACTGTTAACCGATAGTGCATGGAAGGGATTGTAATTATTGCAAAGAAACAAAATATGATTGGTTGAATGTAAAACTGATGATCTGCCTTGTAAACGATCACTCTCAATTCCCAATAAAAGCTTTAAAAATAAATGAATTAATAAAATAAAATAATAAATGAAAGTAATTGTAATTCCCTAAGACTCCTGGAATGGCTGGTAGCCTTCAAAGTGTAGAAAGCGTCTGATACATGCGGAAACACTCAATAAACCAATGACATCCACTACTATTATGAATAGTGCCACTATGTTTATAAGGCACTAAGAACCAAAGAACAAAACCGGTTGCTGTGAAGTTGATCTGACTCATGGTGACCCCAGGTGTAGATGAGTAGAACTGAGCTCCATGGGGTCTCAAGGCTTGGGACCTTTTGGAAGCAGGTTGCCAGGTCTTTCTTCTGAAACGTCTCTGGATGAGTTCAAACTCCCAACCTTTAGGTTAGTGGTTGAGCTTAATGATGCACAACATCCATGGACTCCTTTATCAAGCCCTGGTAGTGCTGTAGGATAAGCACTGGACTACCAACCACCAAGTCACTCCTTGGAAGAAAGATGAGGTTCTCTGCTTTCGTAAAGATTTACAGCTTTGGAAACCCTAAACAGGGACGCTGTAAGTCGGAATCGACACGATAGCACGGTGTTTAGTTTGTTTTGTACGGACTCCTTTAAAATGCACTGTTATTTTTGTTAATGACATTAAGTCGGTTCTGACTCATAGCAACTAGAGTAGCTGGTGGGTTTGAACCATTGACCTTGCAGTTAGCAGTCCAGTGCTAATCCTATATAGCACCACATCAGAACTCCTCCAAGGCATTAGGAACCTGCATTCCCACCAGAACCCTGCTGATGACTGAAGGTTGGCTATGATGCTAATCCCCCAGGGTCCTCATCTGGAAAAGCAGGTGAAGCACTACTCCTGTCCTGCTCAGCTTGCCCCCACAGGGTTGCTGTAGAAGGGTATGAAGTCCTGGGTGTGAAGGGGCCCCCCGACTGTCTTCCAGGGAGGTCAGAGGAGATACTTACTGGAGGCCCTGGCTTCCCCCGTGCACCTGGGAATCCTGGCAAACCCTGGCTTCCCTGGAAAGACAGAAAACAGATGGAAGTCAGGGAGGGGCAGACAGTGGCCAGGTGAGGCGCTGTTGTACCTACTGTCTTCCCAGCCAGCCCAGGGCCTGAAGAATGGCCCATTTTGTGGAGAAAGCGCTCTCCCCTCATTTTCCCCATGTGCAGGCTCCAGATCGGGTCACACCTGGCTGGCCCTCTGATGGCTCTGGGGGTGCAGAGGTAAAGCCAGCAGCCCCTGCTTCACCAGGTAATCCTGGAACCCAGGATCCTGGGCTCCAAGAGGCACCGAGGCAAGGTCTGCGTGACTTATCACAAAGCAGGAGACACTGAGGCTGGGTCACAATGGGCCAGTGGGAGAAAGGGAAAGGGAAGAGGCAGAACTGGCCAACATCTGGGCCTCATTGACGGGCTGGGCAAGGACCAGATGTAGACACATGGTGTTGGACACATGCAAAGAGCCAACCTCAGCAGGCCTAAGATGGAGGATGGAAAGTTAAGCCCTCCTGGTTCATCCCCTCAGCTGGTCAGCAGTGAGACCTGTTACTCCACAGTGCACATGCAGATCCTATACACTGTCATCCACAAGACCCTAAGCCAAGCTCTGCCAGGGAAGGTCTTTGTCTGGAAGGGACTGAGCTGTGAGCACAAGTTCCACACATTAGGGAAGAAAGGTGGTCCCTGAGAGTGCCCGGACAGGGAAAAGGCCACTCGCCAGCCAGGCACAGAAAATGGTGTCTGAGCAGGGGTCCCGAAAGACAAGCCTCTGCAGAAGGGGTTGTAGGCCACAGTGGCAAGGGTACAGAGGAGTAAAGGCCTGGAGGTATAGTGGGAAGGTGAGTGGGTTGGAATGCCGGGCTATGAACGAGGAGGGGCAGAAGAGGAGGGTAAAAGGGTCCTGAGAGTCAGAATAAGGAGCCAGGCCTTTACTCTGAAAGCAATTGGGAGCCATACTTAATTCATGAGCACAGAACAGAACCGTACCCTACAATTCTGAGCTAGTGGGGAAGATAAACTGGGAGGGAAGAGGCTGGGGCCTGGAAATACAAAGAGCAAAGAGGCTTCCAAAAAATTGAGGAAAATGGAATAGAAAGATAATGGGATCTTTCCATTAACTTTTTAAAGCCCCTTTGTGAATGAGGAGGTCATTACATAGTCTAGGTAAGAGATGACCAGAGCGTGGATTCAGGATGGGGAAGACAGGACTGTTAGAAAGGAAACCACCTCATAGTTGGGACCTGGTTCATGCCCTGCCCTGGGAAGGAAGTGGATCAAAACAGGAGGGTGGGGGCAGGGGTGAGAATCAAACGCACTTACCTTGTCTCCTTGGAATCCGGGGTCTCCTGACACACCTGGAACCCCTTGTTCACCCTAAATACACACCAGTAAAGAAGGTTACAGTGGACACCACAGTGAGCTATGGAATACTCCCCAGCATCCAAACCCACTGGCAAGGCTACAACTCTGCTGAGGCCATTCCCAAAGTCCATCTGACCAGCAACAGCCTTATTAGAGTACAGGGTAGGCCAATGGGCAGTCTGTGGGGTGGGCAGGCCCTGGTGAGGAGATACTGGGTCAGCCTATCTGCTGACCTGCCTGGGTAGAGCGACTAAAAACTACTATCAGAAGCTGAACAGCCCTGTGTCATCTGCCCTTTCCTGGAGAATGGACACTGAGACAAACTGTTTCTTGATCCTTTGTCTGTTTCGTTCTCCATTGCTGTTGTCCCTTGCCTGCTGGCCCCACACCACCGTGACTGCTGAGAGTTCATATGTGCTTCCTGACACTTTTGACCCCAAGCTGTAAGCCCTCGCTTCTTCCTTCTGTTGGAATTTCTATGCTTGCCATCAGCTTACATTTATTTCTCATTAGCTGCTTTCAATCAGCTCTAGCAAGAGAAAGCAGAGGAAGCTAAGCTGCTCACTGAAAGGCCAGAAGTTCAAGTCTACTCAGAGGCACCTTGGAAGAAAGGCTTGGCAACCGACTTCTAAAAAATATATAATAATAAATCAGCCACTGAAAACACTTTGGAGAAGTTCCTTCTAGTCTGACACACATGGGATTACCCTGAGTCAGAATCAACTTGCCGCAAACAGTACCAGTAGCCTGAGAAACCAGAGCCTGGCTTGTTACGACTACGTAAACCAGGAGCAATGGAGTGTTGAGGGTCGGCGGGGTATTTCTTCTACAAGACGATATTTACTGCATAGACTTGGACCATTGGAGGCCTGTTCTGCTCCCTCCCTGTTTTCAGCCTGTTCTGCTCGGCTGAGATCACCCAAAAAGTGAGCTGTCACAGAAAGATATCAGTCCATGTTTCCCTTTAGGTTGGAATTTCTCACACCCCTCAGCAGCTTTCCACACTGACAGTCTGCTGACCCAGGACTCAGGAACCATCCTCAGCCCTAGCAGCAGGAGGAAGAAGAGGGCGAAAAGCCCAAGAAGATGGAGTCTTAAAGACCCTGCCTGGGGCCTCGGTCTTTTTTTGCAAAGAACATCTTTGGCAGAATAAAAGCCAAAATTAACTTACTTTGTTTTTTCCAGTTTGGAAAATCCTGTATAATATTCCAGAGTTTGGAGAACTAAGGAACATTTATTTTTTCCCTTCCTTCCTTTCATGTGTGTATGTGCACCCAAAGGAGGAGTTAGGGGGGTTAAAACATTTTTTTTCAAACAAGGAAAGTTTAAGAGCCACCTAAGAAATCAGGACAATTGATTTGGAACAAGCTGGACCTGGAGCAGGCGTTTGGTTCCAGAATGTGCCTCCAAACACTGGGAGTGGAGGGAATCAAGTGGTTGTAAGTGGGACGTCGGCCAGGCGGGGTCATGGAAAATCTGGGATTCCAGGCAGAAGCAGCCACAGAACATGAAGGCTGGTTTTATCATCCAGGGGAGGGTGAGGGGACCGAAATCACCACCCTCACCTCTTGTTATTTGCCCTTTCCACTCAAAAGGGCAAAAATGAGACTCTTTTCCCCCCAAAGACTTGATTTTTCTAAAAATTAGGGGCAGGAAAACAATTTCTTCCTCTTTCTTTTTTTCTTTTCCAGAGATTTTACATCTTCCAATGTCCCCAGCCCCACCAGTCTGTGAGCCAGCTGAGTTCTCTGTATGTAACACATTTATTTCCATGTTCCTGAAGCAACAGGGAACTGGAGACCAGCTCTGCAGAGGGGCCTATAAAAACTTCTGGCTATATTCCTGCCTACCCCAATTTCCTTTCCTTCTCCTTTGTCCATGACTTCAACCTTTCCAGAGGGGTGAAGTCGCAGGCCTCTGGATAAGCAGGTAGCTGTGGGAAAACCCCTGCCTCCAACAGAAAGCCCCTTACTCTAGAGAGGAGAGGGGCATGGGGTGGGGGGCACGGGTGGTACACAGCAAGCAAGGCAGAACCAAAGGGCTAGAGCTGGAGTGGGAAAGGCAGAGGAGCTAGAAATAGAAAAAGGACTGAGATTAGTATGGTGCCCTCTGGCTACCTGGGGTGGACAAAATAATGTAGGTGTGTCAACTTAAGTCCCACAGTCCTATTTCCTGACAGTCAAGAGGCCACACTTGGCTCCCAGAATAAATCACCTTAGTTTCCTTTGGCAACTCTCTTCCCCTCTTTGGATCTCAGTTTCCCCTGGCTGAGAGGAAGGTGTTGGAAGAGATGACCTTCTGACATCAGTTCTGCTTGGAAGTTGAGGACTCCAGAGCCAGATGGCTGGTTGGAATCCTGACATTTGACTTATTGCATAGCCTTGGGCAAGGGAGTTTGGAGGATTACCACTGATCCAAGCAGAGTACTCAGAATGCTGCCTGGAGCTGGTGTCTGGAACTGTTACTCAGACTTTAGGAAGGAGGGGTCACCTGAAGGCAGGTGCAGAAAGGGTGCCTGGGGGTAGGGTTGCTAAGCAGCGACTAGGTCCTCAGGCCTCTTGTGGATACATGGACCTCAAGTCCTGGAGCATAAACACCACTTTGGGGTTCCCTCAGGAGATGAGAGAGAGAGAAGATGGCCCATAGGGGACTGCACAAAGGACCACATTGGGCCCTGGGGTCCCATCTACCCACCTCTGAGTCCACAGGTTTGAAGTCTGGGTGAGGAAGGCAGTGAGAAATCAGCAGCAGGACTGTGCAGGGGTATGTGACGAGTATGCCCACCCCTTACTAGTAGCTGGGAGGGGACCAGGCTCAGAGTCCTGTTCTGGATCTCTTGCTGAATTTTCAGGCCACGTGCTTATAGCAGTTGGTTCCAAATTCCAGAGCAGGATTATTTACGTGAGTTTTGTTTCCTTCTGTACCTCTCCTGGGTATAGGATCCCACCTCACTGCCTGCCCCAGGCGTCCCAGCATCTCAACTTCTGCGGTTCCCTGGCTTTGGCCTCAAGGTCCTGGTGCTGCCCAGGGCTGGATTCACAGATGTGCCTTGTTTTACCCTCCATGCTTTATGTGCTGGGGTCTGCATGCTCCCTGAGCCACTGTGTGGGTGTCCACACAGTGTGACAAAGAAGGGGCCAGGGAGAGCACATTTAAGGGTAACACAGGGGAGAGGGGAGGGAAGGGTGGACAGGAGGGCAGGGGAGTGGGTCGTCTGGATAGAAAACAGCAGTTGCAGCAGTGTTGAAGCAGAGAGGGGGCTCACATGCAGATAAACACAGTGCAATAAGGGAGTATTCAGATCACCTTATCACCTTTCAGTCCGGGTTCCCCCATGTTTCCCATCAGCCCCTGCAAGACAGAGTCCAGTTGTGAGGAAGACGCTAAGCCACAGGTCAGAAACCTGGGTAAACCTTCTCTCTAAAAGGGGGCTATGACCCCTATCTCATAGTGGAGTGGGTTGCAGGGGATGTTGACTAGGAAACCATAGCTCTCTGGAAAAATCCAGAAGAGGATGCTGATAGGGAGAGATGGACTTGCTGAGCCGCGTCATATGCATACTGGCCACACTGTGTCATTACCAGAATGTGGACCTAGCAGTTGGAGCCTCTTCTTCTGCACCCTGTTGGACTCAGCAATGTGCTGAGCTCACTCAGTCTCCATCACAGCTGTCTAAGTCTCCTGGTCATGTCCCCCACTTTCAGGACCCTGAAGCCTAGATTAGACTCATGTTCAGCCCAAGGACTGGTGTCCAGTAAAGATAATAGACAGATGGTGACTGGCTGTCTCCTGACCCAACCAGCCTCCACCCCATCCTCCATGCCGCCACTCACACAGACTAAGGTACAACAGCCTTTTATCTGGAACGAAACAGGTCAGTGGGTACCTGCCCCAATTAGAGGATGGCTTTCATTTACCTTCATGCCCTTGGGTCCTGGGTAACCAATTGGACCCAACAATCCCATGTCGCCCTAGGGAGAGACAAAAGAGGGGGGATGCTGTGAGAGATGTTCTGAGATGACCCTTGAGATCCCTGGGGCTGGGCTTTCCAGGGCACAACCCCACTTGAGTTATATTGGAAGTAGGACTGTTCCTCATTCGGTTTCCCTCTACTAAAGTGCTAGAATAAATTTCACACACATTTTCTCCAAGTTGATTTCCTGATTACTGCCTCTGCACCAAGGCCCTCACCAATACCACACACAGAACGCTTCTATCTAGCCCCTATTAGATTAGAGTTCTTTGCTAACTCAGGGATTCACAGCATTTCAGTTGAATTCTTTGGACCTCAGTCTCTCCATCTATAAAATGGAGACAAAGGATACTCCAGCTAAGTAAGGGGAGGTACTTGCTGCTCCCTAGAAACTCAGCCATCTTTTTGGAGGGCAGTGAGGAAAGGGACAACCAATCCCAGAAACCTCCAAAGATGCTGAGACCAGTTGGTAGACCTGGACCATAGCTGGGAGATCCCACGTCTTCAAAGGCAAGAAGTGGAATTCTAGGTCCTGTGAAGCCAAGTCCCTTCGCCCGAGCTCCTCAACCAGAGCTCCTGAAAGAGTGAATCAGGCCCCCCGGCCCCCCTCCTCTGTACCACTCCCAAGCGGTTTTGGGGAGCTTAATCTCTCCATGCAAGCTCTGGTAGCGTAGTGGTTACGAATCAGGCTGCGAACCTCAAGGTCAGCAGTTTGAAACTACCAGCTGTTCCATGGGAGAAACATGAGGCTTTCTGCTCCTGTAAAGATTTACAGCCACGGAAACCCTATACAGGGTCGCTATGAGTCAGAACCAACTCCAAGGCACATAACCACACCACCACCACCAATCTCTCTGTGCCTCTGCTTCCTTATCTAATAAATAGCAATAGATGTTGCCATGAACCTGCTAGCATTGTTTCAAGACATAATGGATTTAATGTGTATAAACCATTGACATCGAGTCAGTTCAGACACATGGTGTCCCTAGAGGACAGATTAGAACTGCTCCATAGGGTTTCCAGGGCTGTAGTATTTACAGAAGCTGACTGTCACATCTTTCTCCTAGGGAACAGCTGGTGGGTTTGAATTGCCAACCCATTGGGCAGCAGCCAAATACTTATCCATTGTACTGCTGAGGCTCCTTTAACTAACTAATGTGGATAAAGCACTTGGCAGTGTCTGGAGGCATTTTTGGTTGTCAAAACTTAGGGGGTGATACTAGGCCCTCTCCTTTCAACAAAGGATTACCCAGCCCAAACGGTCCATAGGCCCAGGATGAGTGGCTAGACTTTCTTCAAACCTGCCTGCCATGTTTCCCTCAAATCTGCTCATTTCCTGCCCATCTCTAACACTAGTAACCTCGAACGAGATCCTAGGCTGGAGCTCACAGCCAGAAAAAAGGAGACTTTGAAGGTATTCTCTTCTCTCCCTTTTCCATCCACTGGGTGATCCAAGTGCCTAGTGGCTGTGTGACCTCAATCAACGTACTGACCTCTCTGGGCCTCAGTTTCCTACTTTTCTGAATCAGGCTACAGGGAGCTCCCTGGAAAAGGCTCAGAGGTCAGAGCACAATCCTCAGAGAGAGGCATGAGAGCAACAAAGGCTGCCCCAGGTGGCCAGGGTAGACTCAAGTTCCTGTCTGAGCTGCCTGGAGACATCACAGAAGGAGGTCAGACTGAGAATGAAAAATGGTATTCCTACACGGTCCTACAGAAGGGGCAGTGCCTTGGAAGGGGCAGAGTCAGGGAAGGTGCTGATTCCCACCACCCCATCCTCAGGGAGTTCCAGTGGCACAAATGACTAAGCACTTGACTGCTACCCAAGAGGTAGCTCCAAAAAGACTTGGTATCTGCTCCTGTAAACACTACAGGCAAGAAAACCCTCTGTAGCAGTTCTAGCATCACATGCGGTCCGTAAGAATCAAACACTTACTAGAGGGTTCTTAACAACAGCACCCCTCCCCCTACTCCCACCCCTGGCTTCCTGCCATCACACACACACACACACACACACACACACACACACACACTGGCCTTGTCCCTGTGATGGACTGCCTATGTGAACTCAGGCAAAATATGTCCCCTCTGTGGGGTCTTGGTTCTGACAGTGTTTAAGGAAACCTAGCTGAGTTTCTAAGAAATCCTGTTTTCAGTTCCCACTGCGTTGTTTTCTCATAGAGAAAGTGAAGTGTCAGTTTCACAGGCAATAATTAGGACCACGGGTTGCTGGACACGTCACACGCCTCCACTCAGTTATTCTTACAACAACTCTTAAAGATCAGTTCTATTACTACCCCGATTTTATATACACGTGGAAATGGAGGCTCCAAGAGGAAAGGGTTGGAGCAGTTGCAGAGCTGGGATTCAAACCAGGAAGGCTGTCCCCAGAGCTCCTGGCAATACTGAAGTCATGTTTGGAGAGAAGGAAGGGAAAAGGGGCAGAGGCAGGATTCCTGGCAGGGAGGGTCTGCAGTCCAAAGAAAAAGTCCTTCAGCGCTTGCATTTAAATTGTCCGTCTCTCTTTTCCTGGATGAAGGGAGAGGGGGGCCCACCCAGAGTCCCCAGTGCATACAAACAAACAGAGGAGGTTCTTCTGAAACAGTCTGCCCCAAGGGGGTCCTGGACAGAGGCAACAAAGGGCCAGCCAGCAGCCCCAGGAACACAGGCTCCTTCTTCCCAATCCAAGCCGGAAGCTGGGGACAGAACTCAGTATAAGCTGGACTAACTCCTGTCATGGGAGGAGGGATGGCACAGGGGACTGTGCTCCCCCCACTCCTATGCCCACTTGGTTGCCTCTGCAGGTCTGTGTGTGGTGGGGGGTAGGGACCTGGAATGAGCACCCAACCCCAGGTGGGTAGAGCTGTGAAAAAGAGCCCCTGCTTGTGGCAGACCCACGCAGGAAGCCCAGGGAAGGTCTCCCCTCCCCCAAGACCTCTAGACACAAAAGCAATTGGGAGAGGAACATAAAAACCTTAGAGCTATCTTCTGCCAGCCCATCTCAGAAATGACCTGTCAGCTCTCTGTTAGACAGCTCTTGTGAGCAGCTTGGCTAAGTGACAGACAGCAAGTTCTGTCCTCACAAGAAAGAATAAACAATGTCTGGGCCCATGTTTCCTGTGCTCCCCAATGCCACTCTCCCTGATGCCTCGCACCAACACCAAGAACAAAATCAGCCACAGCTGTACTGTTTAGAGAGCCACTATGCATGCCACGCTAGACGCTTGGAGGCTTTCTACGTCCAATCTTCATTAAAAAGGGCTAAACTTTGAGAGTTTACACCATGCCATGGGATGGTGCTAGCTGGGGGACACTGACCAACTTCTCAGACACCCCTACTCCATTTTGCAGATGAGCAAACTGAGGCTTAGGGAGGTAAAATAACCTGTCCAAGATCAAGCAAAGCAAGAGGGCAGAGGCAGGACCCAAACCGGCGTTAGTCTGTTTGTCTGTCTGTCTCACAAGCTCTGGATTGACTATTTACGCTGATCAAAGGACCCAAAGTTCCCTTTTTTTTGTCACTATCACTCATGGGGACAGACTTGAATTCAGAAATAGGTGAGTTGGCATCTGCCAACAGGTAACCAGGCCAGGGTTTTCCAGGTACCCTGAAAGATGCGGTGTGCCCATCCTTCCCAATGGATGTGCTCACCGGTCCCCTGTGCTCATGTGTCTTAACCCTCCTGCCTACTGTTCCCGTTTAGCTGTGACGTACACGACCACCAATGGAAGCACCCCTGGGCCATTCTCAAGCTGATTCCTAACCCCAGCATGCTCTGCCCTCCACTCATATATTGTTAATGTCCATTTGTCCTTCTGTCAACAGCTCCAGCATCACTTTCCTGACCCCACATACCCATGTTCCTGCTGTCAGAGCTCAGAGTCCTTGTCTGTCCACACGATGTGCTCACGGCCTGTCCCACCAGACCATGGACAGGTGTCAGATGACTGTGTCCCCAGTAATTAGCAAAGCCCTGGCGTGGAGGATGTACCCAATAAAAGCAGCTTAATCAACAGGTATAAAAGAAACCTACACGCCCAGACACGCCTCTAGGCAGAAGTCTTGCTGCCATGTTTTCTAGGCTCAGTTTTTAAGCATCAAAGCCTCTTTCCAGAAACTCCAATAGCAAGTCAACAGCTCAGGAACAGGGGTGTGGGAGTGTGGCTAGCCCACCTCTTTCCCTCAGTCTCACACACACAACATCTAGAGCACAGCAGTCTTGCAGAGCAAGTGATGGGACACAGTGGGGAGGAATGCAAGCTGTGGAGGTGGGTCCTGAGTCTAGTTTACTGGCTTTGTGACTTCGTGGTTAAGTGCCATCAAGTCAGTTCTGACTCATAGAGACCCTATAGAGGGTTTCCAAGGAGCAGCTGGTGGGCTTGAACCACCAATCTTGCAGTTAGTTGCTGTTAAGTGCCATCGAGTCAGTTCTGACTCATAGAGACCTTATAGAGGGTTTCCAAGGAGTGGCTGGTGGATTTGAACCATCAACCTTGTGGTTAGCAGTCCAGTGCTTATCCTATGGTGCCACATCTGGCCAGATGCTTTAACTTCTCTGAGCCTCAGTTTCCTTATCTGTAGGTGACACCACTCTACCCTCAGAGCATTGTTGAAACAACTAAACACTTACCACTGGGCCTGTCACACAAGGGTCTTGTAAAGTCCGCTACAGGGTTAAAACTCAGATGATCACTTAGTTGAATAATAAGGTCCACTAGCTCACTATACACACATGCTGGGTTTTGGCCAGGTCACATGATTTTGCATCTCATTAAACAGAGAAACCCAAATTCCTTGTGTGTCACTCAACATCAATAAGACAGGAATCTTCTTTGTCGAGCAGCCTCTGGAATCAGGCACAGTTTTCTTGAGGACCAGCCAAAGAAAGGGTTCAAGTTACTCAGAGGGGACTTCTTTGAGGCAGTCTCACCTTGAAGGCTGCAGAGGGGCCACTGGCAGCTTATTGGGGGTTGTGGTGGGCACAGAGACTCACCCCACAACTTCAAGTCCATAGCTCCAGGGCACTGCCCCCACCTCGAGGATCACGGGGTTTCTGCAGCCTCATGCATGAGAAGCACACAGAGAGCAGACAGGCACTCCATAAATGTTAATTTGTCCTCTCATGCCCTTCCTCCCAGCTGTAAGGACTGCGAGGACTGGGACTGTCTAGCTTCCGTCCGCATGCACATCAATTCAGTTGACTACAAAGAAGACCCAGAATAAATTTGAACTCCCATGAAAATGATTATCAATACATGGAATTCCTATTTGCTCAGCTAAAAACCCACATCCTCCAGAAAACCCTCATAGGTGACTCACAGTCCCTCATCCCCTCTCTCTAACTTCTGCTTAGAACATTCCTGTCTTCTCCAGCTCTTGAGGGAGGCCAATTCTTTGTCCAGACATAAAAGCTGCTGTTCCCCAAACTTCGGGGTGGGAGGGTAGGGGCACTCACTTGGGAGCAGTAATGACGTTGCAGGCTCATGTCCAGTCTTGTGACTCCCAGGAGTGAGGAAAAAGGGAACTTCAGCTCAACAGCAAAGGGAATTTGAAAACCAAGAGGACAGAGAGGTGGGAAAGGGCCAGAGAAAGAAAATAGCACAGTAGAGCCACTGGCTGGGCAAACTCTTTGGAAAAGGACTTCACACACAGACTCAGGGTCGGAGAAATGCAGGAAGGAACCTGGGCTCTTCCCAAGCTCAAGCCCTCAGACGTGGGGCAGGGAGAGGAGCACCCTGGATTAGGAGTTGGGGGACATTGCCTGTGATTACACCTCCATCTTTTCCTGCCTCGTGTGTGATCTTGATCAAGGGCTTCAGTTTTCCTATCTACCAGCTGGGATTCGCTTAAGACACTGTGAATGGAGTGGCCAGATTCAGCATATAAATTACAGGATGCTGGGATAAATTTGAATGTCAAATAAACAATGAATGGCATTTTAGTATAAACATGTTCTAAATGTTGCATCAAACTTAGAACTGAGCATCTTGAATTCTAGCTAGCAAACTTAACTGTGGAGAGCAAAAAGACTACGTAAGGCTATATAGTGCAAAGGCACTATATAAGACTATATGAGAGCTTTGTAAAGAATCAGGAGGACCAAAAGCTGGGATGTTTGAGTCTCCAGAATCTGGTTGATTCAGCCACCCAGTACTCCTGCCCTTCTAACATCCAGCCCAGTGGATGTCAGGGCAGTGACAAGCAGAAGACGTACCAAAGATGATAGACAGAATATATAAATACTTTTCAGAAAAGCTTTGGGGACAGGGATTGTTTCACTTGAAAAAGGGAGCTTTGGTAAGAACAGACAACGAACATCTTCACACCTCTGATGGTGTTTCCTGGGGACAGCGAGACTATATATACAGACATGGAGCAATGAGTGCTCTGCTAAAACTGAGGAAAGAGTGTTCAAGGAGAAGTTTAAAGATCACATGCGATACAATAGTGAATAATTGTTATCAGGACTGATTGTGAGGGTTGGAAATGTAAAGGTAGACGTTTTGTAGCAAAAGGAGGGGAGTGATTAACTTTGCAGTCTAGGAGCGGAGGTCCCTGGGACCATCAAGGGAGAAGAGTGGAGCGTGGGACCCTACCTACAGAAGCAGTGACACCAGAGACAGAGGCAGAGACGATGACGTGGAGAAATGGAGCAGTTAGGGACTTTAGACCCAGAGAGGGAGAGGGGCTGTGTGCTGACAACTGAGGGGGTAGGCTTGCAGGGTATACCCTTTGGCTGGTTGATGATACATGGAGGGGAATGTAACCATGGCAATGAAACAATATACGATAGGACGAATGTAAAGTTAATGTTCTCCCGTGTAAACTATCACATAATTCACAATAAAACATTAAAAAAAAAAAAAGATCACATGCTCAAGATGCTCCAGAGGGATTCCTGGTGGGCTTAGAGAGGATCGAACTAGAAGCCTTCTGAGGTCCCTATAAACTCAGATTCTCAAAATCTCAGATATAGGTAGTTCCCAACTTACAATGGGGTTCTGTTCCAATGACTCCATAGAATACCTAACGAAAGTCAAATACCTCACAGTATTATTTTCTTTAGGTTTTCATTATGATTGCCTTTTATTATCAGTATTTTTATAAATCCTATCTTTATTTTTCTTTGGAGGTTGGCATGAGAATGATAACATCAGAAAATTACATGCTACAATATTGCATGCAGTAAATATCACTAACATAAGATGTACAAAAACACCCCAAATGGATGTTTTTAAGTGTGGTGTGGAGCCCTGGTGTGGTTAGCACTGAACTGTTAACCACATGGTCACAAACCCACCAGCCACTATATAGGGTCGCTATGAGTTGAAACTGACTCAGTGGCACTTAACAACTAGAAGTGTGGTTTTGCTGTAACCTGAATATGTTGTAAGTCTGAGACTACCTGCATTTATTTTCCCAAAGCACCTAGGTCAGGGCCTTTTGCCAAAGAAGGTGCTCAGCAAAGCCCTAGTGAGTGGACATTAGGGATGTCAAATGTTTGACTCATGTGTTGGCGCTTGTCCATCCTAAACCAACGCAGACATCACTAATAACTGTGGCACTCCCTCCCACTAAGTTCCAAACCGACTTTAAAATCTTTCTAAATTCAGCAATCCAGACAGTTACTACCAGGCATAAAACAGCCCATGTGGGTTTGTGTGTGGATATAACAAAAGCAACACTGTCATGACAACTAATACTTCTTGAGCGCTTACTATATACTTACATGTATCAACTCTTCTAAATCCTCACAACCCTCCAAGCTTGGTAATAATATCATCCCCATTTGACAGATGAAGTGGAGGCACAGGGGGTCTGATTCCAGAGACTGTCCATTATTCACTGGTCTGAACTGGATTTTGCATGTATGGTCCTAACAAGAGTGAGTACAGCAATTCCACATCACAGTGGGTGTCCCCAGAGCTCAGGGAAGTGAAGCCACTAACTGAAGGTCACAGAGCCAGGATATGAGCACAGGTTGATCTGCCTCTCCTCCACCACTCAGGCTCTGCCCACACCAAAGCAGGAGCAAATTACCATTGAGGACTCTGGGTTTTCTTCCAGATTTTCATGTTCTGAGCAACAGAGCCTCACAACTCTCTGGGGGTTTCTATAGCCTCCCTCAGGAGCTATTATTTCTCAGCAAAGTTTATCTTATGGCCAAAGCTGGTGGCCTATTGTCAAGCTAAGAGTTGTCTCTCCACAGTCCCCGACTCAAATGTCATGAAGAAGAAGCTAGAGGCCAGAGCAGAGGAGCATCATACTCCAGGGGAAGTTTCTGCTCATTTCTCAGACGCTGTCGTCTCAGTGGCACAGAGGTACAAGGTTCAGTCCTGGTTTTAGCTAAAATAACCACATCCTAAGTCCTAGCCCCCACCTACATGGGGTCAGATCACCTCCTGCCTCCTCTTTATACAGGCTTTGCTTAGTCCTGGGCATTTCAGGAAGGAATAGCAATAATTAATGTAAAAATACTTCACACTAATTGAGCACTTACTAAGTGCTAGACTCTATGCCAAGGACTGTACATGTGATGCCTGCTGAATCTTCAACTACTGTCCCCATTTTACAGATGAGAAAACTGAGACTCGGAGAGAATAAGTGATGTGCCTTAGGCCACACAGCAGAGTTGGGACTTGAAGGCAGAAAGTCTGGCTTTAAAGTCAGTGCTCTGAAGAAAGGGGTGGAGAAGATTAAGATTGCCCAATATGGCCCAGAGCCTCAGTAGCTCTGCTGGTCACTTCCTCCCTCTGGATCTGAAGCCCCTCACCTGTGGAATAGAGATGATGTCACCCATCCACACCTCCTTGCAGAGCAATGGCCCAAATAGTAGGTGGGAAAGTACATTTGCAGCCTCATACTCCACGTTCCCATTTTCATTATAACTAATGAGAACATGGGCTCTGAGAAGGCAAGAAGCCCAACTGAGGCCACACAGCAGGCTTTTCTCCATCGGCCCCCTGTTCAGGCCAGTCTGTCCAGCTCCCTACGCCTCTCCTAGGCCTCCCTATAGGACCCGTTGCTTTCTCATGATGTTCAGGTTCCTCCCCAGACTCGTGATCCGTATGTCTGTGTACTTACAAGGAGGCCAGGGACTCCTGGGGGCCCCGGCAGGCCCAATTCTCCCTGCAAACAGAAAGAAAGGTGGTTACTGCCTCGGCTGAGGTCCAACCTTGCCCGATCTCCCTCCAGGGCCCTCCTTTCAACCAGCCTCCACGTGGGCAGTCATGGGGATATTTGAATGCTGACTGGACCTCATCCTTTACCACAGCCTCCAGGTGTCCCTCTGGAGCCTGGCCTTCAGCCTTAAGGGTCTGATTGGACCTCAATGCCTACAATTCATGGGCCTCTCTGGGAGCCATCTCCTCTCACTCAGCCATCCTGGAATCATGACCACTCCCCCATTTCCTGGAAAGCAGGGGACAGCTACTAAGAGTGGTTAGCTAGCTCTATGCAGGGCACCGTGGGTTTGGACAAGACCTTTTCCCCCTTCGCCATCAACTTTACACATCTGCAAAAGAAGACAGGAGCTCCACATCTGATACCTTCTTCCTATTTTAAGTCTGAAAGAATGGACAGACTCCCAATCCCGACAATGATGGTGTTGATGCCAGGCACCGAGCAGAAAGCTCGACCTGGATGACCTTATTTCACCCTCACTTTGGAGATGAGAAAACTGAGACACTTTGCTCAGGGTCATGTGCAAGCAGACTGCATATGGTGAGGGTAACAGCCACCAGGACAGCCTCCTTCCTCCCTCCTCAGTCAGGAGGTGCTGGGGTGGGACTTGGGAATCTGCACTGCCACCACCCACATCCCAGGACCTCAGGTATCTCCTTCCAGGGCCTCCATGATGCTAAAAAGAGTCAGAAGACAGGGTTCCAGGTCCAACTCTGCCAGCAAGGCACTTGCAGTGATGAGCAAGTTTATTTAGCCTTCTGAACCTCAGTTTCCTTTTCCCAATAAATGGGCCCTCCATTGCTCATTTTGTTGTTGTTAGGTGCCATCGAGTCAGTACCGACTCACAGTGACCTTATGCACAGCAGAACAAAACACTGCCCGATCCTGGCCCAACCTCACTACTGTTGCCACGCTTGAGTCCACCAATGCCATTGCTCATAAGGATAAAGAAAAAGAGAGAAGGAGGAGTTTGGGTCAAGGTCAAAATGTAGTGGTGTGAATCAAATAGGGGGGTTAGAAATCATTATTATTAGTGGGAACTGCCAACCTCCTCCCAGATTTGTCTTCTTCCAGCTGCCCCTAAGAGATTGATGAAAAAGAGCCTCGGCTTTCAAATGAGGAAGTCCTGGTGACATGATGGCTATGCACTTAACTGCTGACTGGTCAGCGGTTCGAACCCACTGGCTGCTCCACAGAAGAAAAAATCTGATGACCTGCTCCCGTAAACATTGTTATTAAGTCCCCTCCACTGAGTTGGTTCTAACTCATAGTGACCCACTGCCTAGGGTTTCTGAGAAGCAGCCGGTGGGTTTGAACCAATGACTTTTAATTTAGCAGTCCTCCAGTGTTTATCTTACAGCGCCACCCCAAGACACACTAAGATTAAGAAACAACACTGGACTGTAGACTGTTCTACTCTGTCTTATGGAGTCCCGGTGCGGTGCTGTGGGTTAATGCACTGGACTACAAAGTCTTTTGAACCACAAGGCTGGCAATTCAAGCTCACCAGCTGCTTCTTGGAAACCCTATACAGGGTCGCCACGGATCAGAACCAACTCGAGAGTACTTAACAACAACAATGACAACTCTGTCTTATGGGGTTACCAAGAGTCAGGATTGACTAGACAGCATACAACATGCTCAGAGAAGAAAGTGACTTGCACAAGACCACTCATCAATTTTATGGCAGAGGTGGGACCAGATGTCAGGTGTCCAGTCATTTTCCACTCTTCTAGGCTGTGAACTTTGAGAATGACATCAGATATGATAATGGCTAGTCCAATAGATTATACTGGACAGAATCTGATTTGCATGTCCACGCCTCTGACGATGCTCTTCTCTCTACCTGGAATGCTCCCTCCTCACCTCTTAGTCATCCCAATTCCAATGCTGCCTCCCCCAGGAGCTCCCTACTGGTCTGCTGTGTGGTGCAGCAGAACTCAAACTCAGGCCCATCTGGTCCCGGCCAGATTAGGCAGGGAAGCATTTGTAGAACTGAATTAGTCCATGATCTGGGGCTGATGGTGGACCTGGAGAACCAGCAGCTACCTTTGTAGAGTGACTCAGACAGGAAGTCCAAAGAGCCTAGTCTCCCAGGTCTGAGGGAGTTGGGGAAGTATGGCAGGTAGCCTAAGGTCCCCTAGGCATGGTCTTCACTCCAGAGACTAAGAACAAGTTTCCTCTCCCACTCAAGTCTGGAGGTTGGGATAGAAGGAATTGTGAACTCAGTCCCCAGGGCAGGCTGACCTGGCTCCTCTATGGAACAGTGCCTGGGCCTCCAATTATTTACAAACTCTATAAACATGATTGTGGTGTGGACTCCTTTAGAACTAGGCTCTTCTCTCCAAGCAGGGCCTGCAAACCATCTGCAGATCTCATAAACATCTCTGAAGCTTTTTAAGATGGCAGCATCATGGGTCAAACCAGTGGAGAGTGACTCATGAACCTTCCCAAGTCCGTGGGGTAGAGCCTGGGGATCTTCGAGGGGGCAAGGCCACTGGTTCAAACTCACCAGTCACTCCTCGGAAGCCCTATACAGAGTCTCTATGAGTCGGAACCAACTCAGCGCAACTTAACAGCAACAACAACACGGGAATCAGTAGATAGGAGCCTATGGTTCAGAGATCTCGTAATTTGCCTAAGGATACCCAGATAATACATGACTGGGCTGGGATCTGATTCAGATCTGTCTGACCCCAAAGCTTCGACTCCTAAAGCCCTCTCTGTATTTACTCTGAATCTCTTTTCTGTTCCCAAAGACTTGAATTACTTACAGGGTTTCCATCCAGTCCAGGAGGGCCTCGTTCTCCAAAGTCTCCAGGAAACCCCTGCAGTGGTGAGAGAACAAACACCTGCAGGTGAGTGTTTTTACCTGTAGGCCAGCTTTGATTCAGACCCCCAGTAGGGACAGAGGACAGTGTCCACACAGTGTCCCTTGGTTCTGGACAGCCGGTGGGATCCTGAAGTTACCATGTGTGGCCTCCAAGTAAGATCACTAACCGCTCCCCCAACAAACACCCCCAAACAAAGAGCTGCTCAGAGTTTCCAATAAGAAAATGGTACCAGGTTCCCCAGCATGGAGACAATGCGAATCCACCCATCTGGGACCACCTGGCCAATATTATGAATGGGAAGAACACAAATGGGGAGTCAGGGAGCCAGGTTTGGCCCTGACTTGCTGAGAGCTTTTATGAAATCATGTTGGCCTCAGTTTTCCTAATAGACAAGTGTGGAAGGTCTCTGAGGCATTTTCCAGTTTAGACTTTCTAGCAAGTTCTGCTATTTGTGAGGTGCTCCTCAAAAGCCACTCTACTGAATACTGATCCCTATTTTACAGATCAAAAAAGTGAGGCTCTGGAAGGGTAAGTGATATGGTCACACAAGGTCACACCACTAGTGAAAACCATCACCAACTCAACAGTTGAGTTTCAGTAGCTCAGAGGAGGCTGAGCCACCCGCTGGCCTAGGCAGGTCTGGCCCTCTCAGCCCTGCCCTGACCCCATTCTGGAGATTGCTCACTCTCTGGGGAGACAGGCAGCTGGAAAAACATCAGTGTGGGGATGCCTTCAGGCCATGGAAGGGGATTCTGAAACAACATCATTCCCACTTCAAAAGGAAAAGAAAGTCTACACGCTTGGAGTTTGGGGGAACCCCATTTTCTTTCCGCCATCCTGTAACTCAAAATTATTGTTTTTCTAGGGAAATTTAATTAAAAAACAAAGCACATTATTCAGACCAAGTGAGTGCCTGCGCTTTTCAAACAATAAAGATTCTCCATGGAGCCCCTGAAGTCTTTTTAAAATTGAACAAGAATTTAGCTTCACTAGTGAAAAAGTTCTGCCTTGAGCATTATGGTTTTTTAAGAACTATCTATGGGATCGACCTGACAACAGCATCTTGAAAGACTAGGTAGGAATTTAGGGGGTAGAGAGTTGATGTTAATGGGACAAGAACAACTCAGAACAGGGAGGTAAGAATGAGTGTACAGCTCAAAGATCATCACCAATGTGACTGTACTGTACATGTAGAAAGTGTTGTGGTTTGTATGTTTTTGCTGTGTACATTCTGTTTAATTTTTTATGTTTTTGCTATGTACATTCTGCTGAATTAGTGTTTATTTTTGCTATGTACATTCTCAACAACAACAAAAGAAATTAAATTGGGGAGGGGAGATTCTTCTTAGAGGATAATTGTATTTTTGTGAATTAAATCGAAAGACTAAACCTGAAAATAAAACCCAATCCAATTACAAAGTTGCTAAGAGCTGAGCAAACCCACTGGCCTCAGGTCGATTCCAACTCATAGAAACCCTACAGGCCAGAGGAGAACTGCCCCATAAGGTTTCCAAAGCTATAAATCTTTACAGAAGAAGACTGCCACTTCTTTCTCCTGTGGAATGGATGATGGGCTCAAACGTCAACCTTTCAGTTAGCAACCAAGTGCTTAACCACTGAGCCACCAGGGCTCCTGGCTGAGCAGAGATCTTGCGATGAGTGTGTGCCCAGACTATTGGTTTTCCCTGCCCAGCAATCCTTCTCCCTTTAAAGTCCTCCTCCATCAGGAAGCCTTCTTGGATCAGAAGGGGGCTGTGCAATTGACATTCACCTGCAGAAGGATGTGGCATCTGTTCAGATACCAAAGGAGGAAATGAAGACAGAATGATGAAGCTGGGACCAAGGTTTTTGCATGCAAAACCTCACTTAATCCTGATAGACTCCCTTGAGAGGAAGGTGATGGGTCTAATTTAACAAATAGTATAAGTGAGTCTCAGAGAAAAAGTCAGGTAGCCAAGGGCACAGAGCATGTGTGGCAGACCTGGCCCCAGACTCACTCTGAACATTGTGCTACTTCTATAAGCTGCACATAGACTGAGAAGCTGCTCAGAGGTGAACCCAATTGATTTAAGAGGGGGCAGAGGTTGGCCCAGGATCGGACATTGTTTCCGTTCTGCTGTGCATGGGGTCGCTATGAGTCGGTTCCGACTCGATGGCACCTGACAACAACAAGAACAAGTGGGTCTTAGGGTAAGAAGACACAGGCCTATCTCCAGGTCACGTCTTCTTGTTGTTGTTAGGTGCCATCTCAAGAGTACCAATTCATAGTGACTTTAAGTACAACAGAGTAAATCACTGCCTAGTCCTGAACCAATCTCACAATCATTACTACACTGGAGCCCATTATTGCTGCCACTGTGCCAATCCATCTCATTGGAGGTCTTTCTCTTTTTTTGTTAACCCTCCACTTTACCAAGCATTATGTCCTTCTCCAGGAACTGGTGCCTCCTGATAATATGTCCAAAATGTCAGAGATAAAGTCTGGCCATCTTAACTTCTAAGAAGCATTTTAGCTGTACTTCTTCCAACACAGATTTGTTTGTTGTTCTGTACTTTTAATATTCTTCTCCAAAACCATAACTCAAATGCATCAATTCCTATATGGTCTTCCTTATTCATTGTCCAATTTTTACATGCATATGTTCTTGCTTTATTAGGTACCATCAAGTCGACACTGACTCTTAGTGACCCTATGCACAACAGAATGAAACACTGCTTGGTCCCACACCAACCTCACAATCGTTGCTAAGCCTGAGCCCATTGCTGCCACCACTGTGCCAATCCATCTTATTGGGGGTCTTCCTTCTCCTTCTCTGACCCTCCACTTTACCAAATATAATATCCTTCTTCAGGGACTAGGTCCCTCCAGACAATGTGAAGTATGAAAGATGAAGTCTGACCATCCTGGATTCCAAGGAGCATTCTGGCTGTACTTCTTCCAACACAGATTGGTTTGTTCTTTTGGCAGTCCATGGTACTTTTAATATTCTCCGCCAACACCTTAACAAATACATCAATTCATCTATGGTCTTCCTTATTCACTGTCCAACTTTCACATGCATATGAGGTTATTGAAAATACCATGGTTTGGATCAAGTACACCTTAGTCCTCAAGTTGACATTTTTGCTCCTCAACACTTTAAAGAGGTCTTGTGCAGCAGATTTGCCTAATGCAATACATCGTCTGGTGCTTCCATGAGTATTGATGGTTGATGGTTGATCTGAATAAAATGAAGTCTTCGACAACTTCAATCTTTTCTCCATTTCTCTTAATGTTATTTATTGGCCCAGTAGTGAGGGTTTTTGTTTTCTTTACATTGAGGTGTCCTGAATAGAATCCGGAGACAGCCCAGTGTCTGGACCAATCACCTCCAACCATGGGCCCCTGACCCTTCTCCAGGCTTCACTTGACCCTCTGCCCTGCTCAAGCTGGGATTGTGTGATCATCAAAGACCCTTTCAGCTCAGTCCAATCCCATAGACAAAACCTGGGAAGAAGACTTCCCTCCTAAACACAGGAGCACCATCAAGCCTGGACTGCCCGGCCCATCCTGGCTGTAATGCACAATATACTCAGACCCCCCCAGGCAAGTCTCAAACTTACGGGTCCTCATCTAGACACCACTCCTGCCTGATTCACGGACTCTTCTCAGACTCAGCTGGGAACCAGCCATCCCCAGGGGACTTCTAAGCACAAAACTCACTCTACCACTCACGGGCCTTTCTGAACCTCAGTTCTCTCTGCTGTACAATGGGGAGGGTGCTATACAATGGGGAGGGGATGAGATGAGACGACACATGGACAGGAAACCCTTTCTGGCACATGACAGGCAGTAATAATGTGAGGGCACATGTCTACAATGGAAGCAAGGGAGAGTCCATCTGAACAGCCAAAATTCCAAAGTGATTCCCTTCTAAGGAACAAAACACAGCCTGAGGACAGGCCAGTGGGCGATGAGGGTAGGGATGTTCACAATGACAGTGACAGAAAACTCCAGGAGTGACTGACTTCCCAACAGTCCAACATGAGATGGGACCCATTACTGGTCCCATTAGAGAGATGTGGAAACAGGTCCAGAGAGGTTAGGGAACTTGTCCAAAGTCACAGTTATTAAAAAACAGAGCTGTTCTCGTAACTGTCACTGGCCTTGAATAAACAGAATGGACTAGAGTAAGCCTGTGGTCCCTCAAAGGGCTCTTCAGAATTCTGGGAGAAGACACAAAATGAAGTTACTGATGCTGAGGACGGGCCTGCTTTGAACATGCTGAGGGACCTCAAGTACCCAACCCAGACTCGGGCTTCAGTCTCCCTTCCTAAGGAGGCGTGAAGAAAATGACCTCTAGAGAATACAGGGTTTGCAATTAAGAACACAATGGTTGGAGAAACACAGGAATGTTAAAAGTGCAGGAACACATTTTTGATCGTCCACAGAGTCCTGGTGTCGCACTGTGGGCTAATGCGTCAGAATGCAAAGTCATTTGAACAACAAGGTCGGTGGTTCAAGCTCACCAACTGCTTCTTGGAAACCCTATACAGGGTCGCTATGGGTCAAAATCAATTCGACAGCACTTAACAACAACAACAATAGATAATCCCCAGGAGCTCTTGGTGTTCAGCACCTCACTGCTCCAATGGGGAGACTGAGGCATAGCTTGTCTCACACCCCCACTCCATAGCAGAGCATCCCATTTCCAGTGCTCGCCCCAGGGCTACCGATGCTTGGCCTTTCTAGATCTCAGGGAGCATCTGCCAAGCTGGACGTGGCCCCACTCCTAACCCATCTGTTTCTCTCTATCTGGCTGCGTCTGCTTGTGCAAGACAAGCACATGGCGTGCACACCCCGCCTGGCCAGGAAAGAGGACCTTCCTCTGCAGGCTCAGCTCCCGGCTGCAGCAGGCTGGCCCAAGGCCAAAGGATGAGCCTGGCTCCCCACCAGGGCTCCAGCCACGTGGTTACTCCACTTCCCCAGGTTGGGCCTCTCTGGGAAACTGAACGCCGTGTGCTTGAAGCAGAACAGGACTCAGGGAAGAGACCCCACATTCTCTCTTGGCCATAGCAACTCAGAGGAATAGCGCCAAGGACAAGGACAGTTCTATCACCAAACCCAGCCAGGATCCCAAGCCTCTGAGGTCCATCTCATCCATTCCCCTGCCTCCAGGCAGTGCCTACACCAAGTGATGGGATATAAGGGAAGAGGAAGCCCAGAGCATCTGGAATCAGAAGTCTCTGAGGCTCAGCTCCCCAGCCTGCCCCACACACCTGGGCTGAGAAGTGAGCTGTTTATCATACAGCTTCTAGTAAACTCCATTGTGCTACCAGCCTGCTAGCTGGATATTTGTATCAATAATCAGACTATTTAATAACCTCTGGGAAGAACCCACAGCAGGATCTTGGAGACCTCCTTCTGACCTTCACATTCTCTCCATGGGAAGTGTCTGCACAGGTCTAACCCGACTGCACTTGAAACTGTCCATATTCTTTTCTAGAGCAGGTGTGCACCCCAAATGTGCTGGCATGGAAAAGACCCCTCAAAGTTCCCCAGCATCCTTTTCTCACAATGCTGACCACAATTTTACCAGATGCTTTTGAAATCCACCTAGGAAAAGCCACTTCAGGAAACAAGGACAAGAAGGGCAGGCGGAGGCCCCACTTGGACCTCAAGGTCACCAGCAGCCCTAGGACAGTTCTGGCTCAAGTCTGGGATTCTGGGGCCTACATACCACAGCTAAGCCCCTTAATCTGCTCAGCTTCCCCATTGGAAACTTTGCTCCTTATGGCCTACAGTCTGAGAACTGGAAATAGCCCTGAGCTTGAAGTCAAAATGCCTCGTGTTAGAAACTCTGTCCCACCATGGGTGACTTTGAACAAGTCCCAGTCCTCCCTGAACCAGACACCAAGGGCACAGAGCTGGTCCCTTCCGGCTCTGCCCACCTGATTCACTGCCTAGGTCCAGCCCTAGAGGCCTGGGGACAGGAGAAAGTGGTGAGTGCTGGCCGGCCTTGCGAGTGTGGTGGGAATTCACTGAATGCAAGAGGGGTGGATTCCATTTCTCAGCATCTCTCAGGGAGAGCCCTTAGGCTGGGAGGCATGACATGGCCCTCAGCTGCGAGTGACACTGAATTGTGCCCCCAAACAAGCCACAACAGCCCAGGAGAAATCCTCCCAGGAGTTCTCAGTATCTTTTCCCTGGACTCCTCATCAGGAAATCACAGCCAGTCCATTTCTCTTTCTAGTAAGAGGTCTGAGGAGGGGATAAGACCTGCAGGCTGATCTTCCCTTTGGAGACTGAAGATGGGAGCCCAGAGAAAGAAAGGGGTGAAGAACTATCTGTACTAGCCAGCAAAGGTCTTAGTTATAGTACTGACTCTGGCACCAACTTGCTGTGTGACCTTGCACAAGTTATTTGCCCTCTCTGGGCACTGTCTGCTTAGCAGTCTGTCAAAAGGATTGGCCAAGTTCTCATTAAGGTTCCTACAGCAATGGTGCGCCCTTACTTCTAGTCTCTTGGCTTCTTTTAGACAAAGATTCACACACTCTCCTGTTCCAAACTGTATACTGAGAAGACCATGTGCATAGGCCTGAAGTTTTTCCTGCTGGGGGGAGATCAACTACATTGAAATCATCACCAGCCAACCAGAAATGAGGCCAGCTGGAATCTGACATGAGATTCAACTCATTCTTCTGACATTTCTTCCCACTAATGAGTGTCTAGAAAACTACTAGCCAAAGCTTTGACAAGGAGAAAAAAAACACTCCTGGAAGGAGCCCCAGACCTCACCAACTGGTCCAAGGTGGCAAAAGTGCTGGCTACAGGGGAATGACCCTAAAGACCTTTCAAAAGAATGTGTGGGCAGAGGGACGTGGTGGTCTCAAAGAGCCCCACAGAAACAGCAATTAAGTTGTGGGGACTCAGGAGATATGAGGTCCCAATGAACATATGAAATCACACCCTATACAGACCTTACTGATTGGCTGGCCTCAGCAGCTGGACCCGAGGTAAGGGCATTCTCATGGCCCTCAGTGGTGCTGCATGGTGAGTGGGCTGTTAGGCTGAAGGGGGTTTCCTCTCACCCACACAGGACACCTCAGTGCCAGGAACACCCCATCATGGAGACCAGGGCTGAATCTCAGGAAGTTAAAGGCAGTGATGTGGTTCATGTCCTGGTGAGACCTGAGGGACTCTGAACAAATGGATTTGACCATCTGAGCCTGTTTCCTCATCTGGAAATGGGAATACTCAATCTCTTCTCCGAGTTTGTTAGGAAGGTCACGAGGGGTTCTTGTGTAAGAGGGTTCGGCCAACACTGCCCTTAAACAAGGTCATGACCATACCATGTTTTTTACCTCACTATCGTGTCTGTTAACTGTCTCCGTCTCTAACATGTAAGCTCCTCAGTATGGCTATTTGTCTATCTACAGTCATCCCCAGCACCTGGCATACAGTAGGTGTTCAATCGATGTTTACTACATGAAATGAATGAATGACCCCAGTGAGCAATAACCAGCCCAGATGGTGCTTTCTCAGCCCCAAGAGGTCAGGGATTTTTAGCTCCAAGGAGAAGACAGTGCATGGCAGAGACAAGGTGGATGAAGGGGAAACAAAGAGGACACAGAGGACAACTGAGTCACAGGCCCTACTGAGGAGGAATTTCTTCCCACATCAGGCTGGACAAGAAGCTATAAGTAGCCTGGGGCTTTCGGGTCTTGCCTACTTGGAGAAGGAACTCACTCTGGCCAGGGAAGACAAGCACTATGAGTTTGAACAAAGGGAAACTCCAGATGACTGTCCAGAGTCTTCCATGAACCAACACTCAGCCAGGAGAGCAGTGGGGTTGGGAGAGACAGGGTGAGGAGGGGAACGCTTTAGAAAACAACCATCACATCTCAGAGGCAGGAAAACCCACCCTCTCCCGTAGGGGAAATTGACCACCTAGTGAATTCACAATGGGGTTTTTGTTAGAGCTTGGGTCTCCTGACACCAGGTTAAGGCTCTTCTAGAACCATGTGTTTTTTGTCTGGATTCTCCCCAAAGTAAGAGTTACAGCTTCCAACAAAACATTCTCTCCTCTTGTGTCCTAAAGCATTCACAGAGAGGAACAGGTTTATTCTAACAGCTCCTGTTTGCTGAGCATTTACAATACTCCAGGCTTGCCATGTATTATTCCACTGAATCCTCAGAGCAACTTTAGATGGCTCCAGCCCCAGCCAACATCTTGACTCAACTTCATGAGAGAATCTGAGCCACGACCAAGCAGCTAAGTCAATCTCTGATCTCTGAACCTCAGCAATTGTGTAAGGTAAGAAATAGACAACAAGAACAGACAACAAACAGAGATTGACAGGTATGGCAACACCACCTGAAACACAGCCAACAGATAGCAGAGTCCAGAACAGAACGAGACTACAACGACAAAATCAAAAGAACGGGGAGATCAACTGAAGGCCAAAAACATATCAATGTCAAAGAAGGGACAAACGCAGCAATGGAAGCCCAGGTGGTGAGGATGCCAGGTAAATTACAGGCTACAATGGAGTATCCTAAATGCAGAGAAAAGAAATATTTGTTGTTTAAAGTCACTAAATTTTGTTCTGCAGAAACAATAATGAACTCGGAGAGCCTTAAGGCACCAACAGGGGCTGGGTGTGGAAAAAAGGAGGCCTCAGTTACCAGCCTGGGTCTGCCTCAAGTTGGCAGAGGGACCCTGGACATATGCTCTGTCACTCAGAGCTTCAGTTTCCCCTACTGAATAATGAGATGATTAGCATGAATTCTTGTCCTCCCAGGCTCTGAGATTAGGGTATCCACCTTTACAACATTACCTCCAACTAGTGGCCCAAGAGGTCAGAGACTCTCAAATCAAACTAACTGGCTCTACTCACTGGGAAAGCTTCAGCAAGTGTTTCACATTATGCCCCACAAATGCCCAGACAAGAGAAAAACAACCTTCTACCATAGTCCTGGTGTGGCACTGTGGGTTAATGCGCTGGACTGCAAAGTCGGTTTGAACCACAAGGTCGATGGTTCAAGCTCACCAGCTGCTCCTCAGAAACCCTATGCAAGGTCACAATGAGTCAGAACCATTGCTCTGACAGCACTTAACAACAACAACAACCACAGTCAAGAGCCAGGTACAAAGTTGTGGGTTGGGGATGATCTCTGAGCCTCTGTTGGGACCACTCCCTGCTGTGGCCTGCTCACACCCCACACTGTCCTTTGCCTTGTGTGTGAACAAGCTGGGTGACCAAGGCAAAGTGAAGACTGAGTCACAAAGATCCCCAGTCCAAGCAGGCCCATGGACACACACACCCTAAACAGAAGCCCCCCCAGACACAGAGCTGCACAGAGCCAGCAGCCTGGCAACAGGAGAGTCCACACTCAAACAGCGACGGCCAAGCAGAGAGAAGCAGAAAATGGCCATGGTGAGTGGGGGTGAGGCCAACGTGAGGTCAATTCACTCATAGTCTACGTAATAGACACGGAAAATCTTTACCGGCCTACCCATCTTGCCCCTCTTGCCAGGAACGCCGGGTGGACCCTGTAGGGGAGACATAGGGAAGAAGTCAGAACAGGGCAGGAGCCAGTGTGAGTGGGTAGACAGACAAACGGCCTAACCAAAGAGAGCAGAAAGCATACTCACTCGCTCTCCGTCGGACCCTGGCAGGCCGAAGAGCCCTGGGAGTCCGATGTAACCCTAGGAAAGAGCAGATGGGGGTCAGAGGGGCCGAGCGGTGAGGTGTGGCCGGCACGACTATCACAGCCCTCCCCTGGCCCTGGGTCCTCTTCCTTGCTGGTGGCAGCAGCGGCTCGGATGGCTCCTCGATGACATAGGCCTTGAGGCAAGTGTATATGCCCATGGACTGCATGGTGCCGGCTTCCACGATGTAGTCCAAAGGCACATACCCTCACGCCAGGGAAGGGCGCGGGCGCTTGTGTGCGGGAGACCCGCCCTGTGCCGGTGGCTCTGGGACCTGTGGGAAGGAATCTCTGGGCTGTGTTAAGTTCTACAATGGCGCCAGGTCCTAGCCACCCCCAGGGGTGCCCGCTGCGGGTTGTAGCTTCTGTAGCATCTCCTCCTGGGCCTCCCAGGTCCTAAACCTGGATGGGCTCTTTCCTTCCCTGATCACCTGAGAGCAGCAGCAAGAACAGCGGTCACCCGGGCACACTGGCGTTGTGCCAGGCATGTGCAGGACAGCAGCACTGAACCCTCACAAGGGCCCTGCAAACTGGCTGTCAACCCTTCACTGCACAAATGAGGAAACAGGGCAAAGCAACATGACAAGGATCCCAATGTAAGTCCAGCTGACTCCAAAGCCCAAGCTCTTTCCGACCACCCTACTGTGAGTACATACGCCCTCTGGTTTCCTGCCGCCCAGCCTTTATTCTTTCTGTGCCCTCCAACCTGCACACCCTTCCTTCTCCCCAAATCCTTCAAAGCCCAGCTCGTATGCTTTCCCCTCTGGCCTGCATTTGATCCCTGATGCCCCAGCCTGAGGAATCACCCATTATACCCAGCACCATGTGTGTACCTCACTTAGAAACATCTAAGAGTCCCTGGATAGAGGCAACAGTTAACACACTCAGCTGCTAACGGAACAGGTGAAGGTTCAAGTTCACCCAAAGGGACCGCAAAAGGAAAGCCTGGTGATCCACTTTCGAAAAATCCATTTGGAGCACAGTTCTACTCTGGTACACAAAGACTTACCATGAGTTGAAGGCAACTCAATAGCAATTGTTTAAGGAGCATCTACCACTTTCTCCCTTGTGTCTTCATTAATTGTGTCCACGTCTCATGTCTTGATTAATCTGACAGGGCAGGGCTTCCAGAACTACTGTACTCTTCAGATGTCTGCACCATGATTTAAGAATAACTAGTCTAGGTACACAAGGTCTGTTTGAACTGCAAGGTTGGCGGTTCAAATTCACCAGCCGCTCCTAGAAAACCCTATACAGGGTCGCTATGAATCGGAACCAATTCAAAGGCACTTAACAACAACAGCAATAACAACAACAACAGTCCTGGTGTAGCACTGTAGGATAAAAATTGGACTGCTAATCACAAGGTTGGCAGTTCAAATCCACCAGCTACTCCTCAGAAACCATATCTATACAGGGTCTCTATGAGTTGGAACCGACTAGTCGGCACACAACAACAACGTAACAAAGGCTAGATTTCACTGGGCACAAACTAGGTGCTAGGCCCAGAGCTTTCGATGCAGTAAAGCGCTTACTGTTTGCTCACTTCATCCCTAGGAAATAGGTACAGGTGAGACTATTTAGGCTCAGAGAGGTGAAGTCACTTGTCTCTGGTCACACAGCTGGAATTCGGTGAAACGGTCATTTGAATTCAAGTCTTCTAACTTCCAGGTCTGAGCTCCTGACCACTCTGCTACACTGTCTCCCACCAACAAGCAACAGAGCTCACAAAGAATTTTCCCTCCCTGGAAGGCCGACTGTGTCCACTGTGATCAGTAATCACTTATCTTAATGAGTGGCCATTCAAGGTAGAGTTCATATTTATACTGACAGGTGAGAAACTGGGTCCGGAAAGGCCCAGGAACCAGCCAGCTAACAGCAGAGCTGTTCTCAAACCAGTCATCCTGACTCCAAAACCTGTGCTCTGCTTACTTCATAGCGAGAGACCAGCAATGACAAAGTTGAGAGGGCTACATGCACCAGCCCTCCCGCTCACCCCAGCTGCCCAGGGGCCCTTCAACCTGGGGGTAGTGGGGCCAGAGCCAGCCTGCCCCCCACATGTGGCCTCAAGATGCTGCCAACGTGACAAACAGCACACGGCCCCAGATGTCCTCAGCATGTCCTATTCCTCCCCTCCTTCTGGCTGGGCTGGGCTGGACGACCTTCTCCCAGGGCTCAGAGGCGGCTCGGAGGCTCCACTGGGGCCACAGCTTGGGGAAGTAGCTGGATAAAGGAAGGGAGGCCCAGCCTCCTTGGAGCCTCCTCAGCCCTGCATGTCCTAGGAGCATCCTGGGGACTTTGCCCTCCTGCCTACTCAACCACCCCCCAGATGCTGTCCTAAAGGCTGCCATCTGCTGCTGGGATCAGGTCCCATTATGCGCGACCTGGCCCAGTGAGGACTGGGTGACCCACCGGCCGAACATTCCCACGAGAGGCAGTGGGCCAACCCTTGGGACACCTGGGTCCCCATCCCAGCTCCACATCAGATGTGCAGTGAAAACTGGGGCTGTCGGATCCCCGTGGGAACCTAGTTTCCTGGTATATAGAGGAGAAGATTGCACCAGATCATCTCTTAATCTTCTGAACTTCATTTATCTTTACCCAATTCACCTAGAACTTTCTTCACTTTCCCACAGTCCACCTGGAAGCTCCTCTTCAACAATACTTATTTCCAAATGCCTAGTACTCCCGCAACCAAGCTACGGGTAGAAATGACCATCATTCCTTTGTAAAGATGGGAAAACCAAGGCTGCTCACTACTCAAGGTTTGCTCTATGTGGGTCTTGAAAGACAAGGAAAGCTGAAGGCTCATCAGCCTCCAACCCTGAGCAGCATTCACCCCCAGGCACCACTCTGAAAAGGTAGCCCCCCTCTGCCCCCAGGTCCTCAGCCAGGAGTAAGAGGGGGGACCTGAGAATTCCAACCACAGGCAATTGAGGAAGCCCTGGCATTGGCTCCCGAGTCTCTTAGGAGGATGTGCTAGAGTCGTGGCAAGCAAACGTCTAGTGTTAGTAGCTGCCTGCCCATGGCTGAGCTTGCAGCAGGGCCCTAACTGTCCATGGGGACCAAGCTGGCTTGTCTGACTCAAGGTCATCCCTCTGTTCCTCTGCTCTGTAAGGAGCACTCAGGATGCTGAGGGGACAAGTAATGCCCACCCAGGGCCCCACAAGTGTGACATTTGCCCAGGACCACTTACCCGGCTGCCTTTGGGGCCTGGGCCTCCTACTGGTCCAGGTAGCCCCTGAAACACAATAGTAAGAGGGGCAGAAACATATGGAGATGTTGCCAACCTCCCAGGTGAGTCCTGTCTCTTTTGAGTCTCAGTTGCCCCTCTGTAAAATGAGGTGAGAGCTAAACTAGGGGTCTCCAAACCAAGCCCCCACAATCCCCAAGCCCCAGGGAGGTCGTTCATAGGGACAAACCCCTGAGTGGGAGGAACTCCTGAGGCTCAACCCTGAGAACCAGAGCTCCTCTTGCACCATTCTGCCCCCTCCCCTGGTCCCACCTCCAAGACAGCCCATTCCTTGGGGCCCACCCAGTGGGCAGCTCCTCCTATTCCCCCCTCTGCCTGGGGAGCCCATGGCCATCCCCATACCACCATAGGCACAGAGCTTCTAGAAGCCCTATACTGCACCTGCCTGCCAGGGTAACCTTTGGCCCCTGGGCTGCCCTCAGGTCCTGGCCGCCCCTGCAAAGGAACGGAGAAGCATGAGGAAAGGAGAGACCCTGCCCAGTTCCAGCTCTAGGGGAGGAGGGGGGCAGCAGAGGGGTTGGGGCTTACAATGGACAAAGAGAGGGGCAGGAATGTGAGATGAAACAGAAGGAAGGGGAAGCCACCGGCCTGCTGGGCCCCCAAGCCCACCTCTCTGGGAAACCGGTCAGACAAGCTCTGAGGGACAAACTCCCTGTGCTTGTAGCCCAGGAATAAGAAAGCACAGAGAAGCTGGCCGGCTCTCCCATGCTGGCAATGGGCCAGGGCAGCCAAAATTCCTACAAACCCCATGTATAATATCCCCTAACATCGCCCGGAACAGGCCAGCTATTCATGGCTCTGACCAAAGCTGAGGGGTTCATGCCAACACCAGGCGGGTGCCGACTCTGGCTCTTTCAGGCAGATGTGGTTGCAAGAGGATGGGGGGGCAGTGGGGTGGGAGGCAGGACAGCCTGGGCTGGGGTTCGCTCAGGGAGCAAGGCTCAGGGAGGAGACAGGCCTGGGCAGGGGCTGGACTGAGGGACAGCAAGTGGAGTGGGGCTGAGGTCTAGGCCCTCACCTGTTCTCCGGGGTGCCCCGCCGGTCCAGGATATCCCTTGAAGCCCTGTTGGAAAGAAAAGCCACGTCAGGCAGGGAAGACATATCTGGGGTTGCAGACCACAAAGGCCCAGCTTCCCTGCCTGCCCAATGTCGGGGACACAAACTGCTCACAGCGCATGTGGTGGGAATGGATGCATGTAATGAATCAGGGTTCACAGAGTGCTAGTGCTGGTTCTCAGGCTGGAAGATCTGGGGGTAAAGGAAGGGGGGACTCTTTTAGCAACATTTGGGAACTGAACTGGGATAGAGCAAGTATGATAAAGGCATAATGGGGATCGAGTGTGCTTTCTCCCGGCCATTCTCCACTGATGCCAAGGGGGAGTGGGCCTGCCAGGTTGTGAATGGATGGATGAACCAAATAGGGCCTCAGGCTGGGGTATGTCTCACCTCCATGTGATGCTGGGTTCAGGACCTGCCTCTTCTCATAAACCTCAGCTCGGAAAAGAGCTCACATATTGACCAAATATGTTAACCAAGGTCCCAACCCCAAATTCAAGGAGGGAGAGGGCATTCAAATTCCTGATAGAGAAATCCCAGCAGCAGCCTTCTCCCTATGTCCCCCTGGCTCAACTACACGGTCCCAGGTATTCTGGGCATGCCTCCAGAGGCAGTGCTGGGTCCTGAGTCATTTCATTACTGTCAGATGTGTCCAGGTAAAAACCCCAGGCTTTAAGTTCCAATCAGCTAAGGACTGTAAAAAGAAGACTGAGCAAGGGGCTTCCACTTCAGATAGAAAGACCACGCTGGTCCCCAACAGACGCACCCCCACCCCACCCAAGGAGTCCTGGGCTGGTTGTAGACACTGTCCCTGACTACTATGCAACTTTTGGTGGGTTACTGACCTTCCAAAGACGGGCTTCCAATGAAGGAGTTATAATTTTTGGATCCTTTTCAGTGCTGATGTTTTAGAACCCTACAGATCTAAGACCGCCCCACAAAATGACACTTACTACCAGACTAGACTGTAGTCTCCTATAGCCCCCCTCTGTGCATGGTCCTTTCCAGAGTGTTGACCTTGTATCCAGGTCTAGACATACAAGACTCCAGCTAACCCTGACAACAGCCAGATGAAGATGAAATGGAGACGGGGGTTAACACACCCATTTTACAGAGAAGAAAACTGAGTCTTGGAGAACTCAGGAGCAGCAGTCTCGCCTCTCACCACCAGGTCTTTCTGGCACCCAAGGTCACACGGAGAGTCTGGCAAACATCCTCAGACATGTGCACTTCCATGCACGTACACAGACACAGGAATATACACTAAGCAACCCCCACGAACCCCCAGGAAACAGCGACTTTTAATTACAAACAGCAGTGTCAGTTTGGTCCTAGCAGTCTGGGGAGTTGACAAGCATTCTTTCTGTGCCTACTCAGATCTCTGCGATAGGCATGCTTCTCAAATCCAGGGGCCTATGGGCACTGCCACAGCATGGCTGGCTGAGTTTCCCACCTGCACTGTGCGCCTTCTCTCTTGGGGTAAACTCAGGCACAGGGCACAGCCTGGCCTTAACTTGCGAAGTGGTTAAGACCTCTTACTTTGGATCGATCTAGATTCCAATCCTGCTCCCCCACTGACTGGCTGAGTGACCGAGAGTCATTGGCTTCACTGGTTTCCTTGTTGGTAAAAGGGTTGTAAGATTGGCATACTGGTTACATGATAGGATGTGTGCAGAGCACTTAGTCCAGTATCTGACAGCAGGGGCCTTGTAAAACTGGCTGCTGCTATTACCACGATCTTCATGGTTCATCCATTCATTCAGAGAACATCCACTGAGCTTTGAGCGCCAGCACTCTCTTAGGCGTAGGGTGGACGGCACAGACTACATCCTTCGCCTTCCTGGCATCTATATTTGAATCAGGGAGATGTTGCCATCAAGTCAATATAAAAGGTTATGTCTGATCATGATCGGGGCTATGAAGAGGGGTAGGCAGAGTTAGGGGATGGGAATAGCAGTGTTGTGACTTCAGGAGGTGGTCAGGGATGACGATGGATGAGGTGAGGGAGCCGGACATAGGGCTGGCTATCTGGAGAAGGGCATTCCAGGCAGAGGGAACAGCAAATCCCTGAGACAAGAAAGCTTTGGGGGTGGGCTCAAGGAAGAGCAGAAGGAGTGAGGGGTGGGAGAGACCTACAGCAGGACAAAGCAGGTGGCCAGACCATGCCAGATTGTGGGGACCTTGGAACAGACTGGGTTGTTTTGTTTTGTTTCTCTAAAGTGTGTTGGGCAGCCACAGGAGGGTCTAGGGCAGGGTCATGTTGCGGTGTGACATATATGTTGTGGTTGATCTGGACTCAGAGTGACCCCACATGACAGAGTAGAAGGGCTCATTGGGGTTTCCTTGGCTGTAACCTTTACAGGGCCACAGTGCTAGATCTTTCTCCTACAGAACTTGCTGCATGGATTCAATACCATCCTTCCGATTAGCAACCAAGTCACTTAACTATTGTACCGCCAGGGCTCCTAATGACATGCATTTACCACTTTTTATCATTTTTCCATCTTGTAGCTTGCAGCTGAGGAAAAATAAGCAACGCCTTTTCCCAGTGAGGAGCTGTATTTCGCCTGAAGCTCGGGCTGTGTGGTCTGGCAAAGGCCATTGCCTTCTCTGAGCCTCACTCTGCCAGCCCCTGCCTGCCTTCCAGGTGACTGAAAAGTGGAAAAATAGAGACAAGGATCCCAAGAGAAGCCAAAGGGCCCCAGGGACATGAGTGTCAGCAGCTATCAGGCTACCTCTGAAGCCGCGAAGAAGCCTGCGAAACTCGGTGTTTCAGCCCCAAAAGTGTTGCGAGTGAAACTCCAGGAGGAGATTTCAAGTAAGTCCTTTACTCAGGTTACAGCTAAAAGGAATGAATGGCAATCAGGGACATGTATAGTAGCTGGCCCCACGCCTGGCCCCACTAAGCACTAATACATCAGCTCAACTTTGCCAGAGAAGGAAGCTGAAGCTCACAGACATAAAGAGACTTTTCTGAGACCCTACAACTTCCCAATGGTCGAACCAGGTCAAGACCTGCCTTAAACCACTTAAAGAGATGAGACCTGCTCATGGACCAGTCAGAGAAGAGCTACAGGGATGCCCACAGCAAGATCACCTTACAGACCCACTTCTCTGGGAAGGAAAGCATGGATCATTACAGCAATATTAGGGCAGAAGCTGGTCACACAAGCCTGGAGTAGCTGTGTTTGAAGGGAACCTAAGCATAGGAGTCCTGGTGTGGCTCTATGGGTTAATGTGCCAGACTGCAAAGCTGTTTTAACTGCAAGGTTGGTGGTTCAAGCTCACCAGCTGCTCCTCAGAAACCCTACACAGGGTTGCTATGGGTCGGAACCGACTCAATGGCACTTAACAACAACAACAAGTGTAGTGGTTACAAGTCGGGCTGCTAACCTCAAGTTCAGCAGTTTAAAACTACCAGCCGTTCTGCAGGAGAAAGATGAGGCTTTCTGTTGCTGTAAAGATTTACAGCCTCGGAAACCCTGTGTATGGTCGCTATGAGTCGGAACCGACTCCACGGCACATAACCACCACCACCACCAAGCCATCAATTTGACATCCTCCTTTATCATCGGACAGATTGGGATAGTAAGGCTCAGAGCGGGGAAGGAACTTGCCTAAGGTTACTTAGCAAGTCATGGCCAAGCCCAGACGATTCTCCAGGATGCCAGACCTGCTTGGTTGTGCTCTGTCCTAAGTCATTCTCCGTTAATGGTCCCTAAAGGGCCACAAAAGTTGCCATGAACTGCCCAGATTCCCCTAGCTAGCTGGGAGCATCAGGGTCTGAGCACAGACAAGGCAGAGGCAGATAGGAGGGAGGCTTATGCTCCCTGGAACCACCTTCACACTGTTTACCCAGCCAAATTGCTTCAAATGACAGGGCCCAGGACCCAGGAGGAGCAAAGCCATTATCTTCTCCATGGCCCCAGCAATTATGAGGTGGGCACTGACCACAAGGTGGACCCATAGGCAGTGATTTCCCTGTGAGTGCTGGGAGCCTGACTGGTACAGGGGAGAGTGGATGCTTCAAGGAAAACTCCGGGGACCACGGATGTCTGCAAGGGGCCTCAGGCCACCCGGCAGGCGGGTTTCCACAGGACCGTGTTTATAATAGAACTCGGTCTATATTTGGGTTTCGGAGCCAGATTAATCATTGCTTACAGTGCATACAGAGAAGCCAGACATCACCTCACTGTTTCTGCAGACAGTCTCCCTGTCCACTGGGGATGTTATCTGGGCTTTGGGCAGAGAGAGGAGAGAGTCCTGTCCTTGTCTGAGGGTCCTGGGGACCAATGTTTCATTTGAAGACAAATGGAGCTCCCCTACTGCTCCTTCAGAACTGCTCCAAGGCTGAGTGAAAGGGCATATATGAAGCGTGGAAATGCAGTAGGTCCTCAGAAAATAGAAGTGACCTTCTCCTCTGGCTTGCTTACTACTCCATGAGACTTCCCACGGAACTTATCTACCTACCAGCTTGGCCACCCACACCCCACACTCAAGAGGATGAATGGCTCACTACCTGGAAACAGGCAAGTCACTGCTCCTCTCTGGGCCTCAATTTACCCATCTGGCTTCTCACAGCATGCTGTTGGCTTAGAATTTGTAGGGGTCTGAAAGCTGTGGCAGAGAGTAATCATAGAACCCATCACACCACAGCCAGACCTCTGCCATCAAGCTTTGCTCAGGGGTGCTCGAGACAGGTAAGGTCAGGAAGGTGCAACCTGAGTCATCCAGTTATTCACTCCTTATGCACTAAGGGTGCACAGGTGAATTAGACAAACCCACTCCCTACCTTCTACAGAAGCCCTTCACAGGGTCGCTATGAGTCAGAATCAACTCTATGGCACTTAACAACAACAACAACAACACCTTCTATAATGGAATCCTGGTGTGCACTGTAAGAGAAACACTGAAACACAAGTTGGCTTGAATCACAAGGTCAGCAGTTCAGATCCACTAGCTGCTCCTCGGAAATCGTATATAGAGTCGCTATGAGTCAGAACTGACTTGACGGCACTTAACAAAAACAACAACCTTCTACAAGGGAACATGGACACTAAATACACATTAAATTGAATGAAGGAGAGGTACTGAGTACTAAAAGTTTGGACATCTCCAACCAGAGGAGGCAACATGGTAGGAGATGTGTAGGGTTTCAATGGGAGAGATGAGAGCTGAGCTCAGAGATGCTGTGGGGATGGACCACAGGGCAGCCCAGCATCAGGGAAGCCTGGGGAAGGTTCTCAGTAGAGGCTCTGTCTGGGACTAGCGTGCCTCACCCAGATAAAACTGGTAACTCTGCAAAAAGGTAGGTCTCAGTCCGCCAGCCCACCCTCCACTGCGTTTCCTCCAAAATATTCCCAAATGACCCCTCTGCCCTCCCATTTTATTACAGCTTCCTTCAAACAGTGACAACTCAGGCAACATCTGGAGGACTAGTGGGCAGAGGGAGAGCGAGAGGGAGCCAGGAGGAAGTCAAGCTGAAAAGTTAAGTAATTCAGCTTCAGTATCAATATCATTCTATTAGTCATATCTGCCTGGGGCACTATGTTAAGAAGGATTTCAAGGCCACATAAGGGCTTGGCAAGAAAGATCATTAGTGATGTCTGCCAGAGGCCTGCACGGAGCAGACATGTTACAAGCTGAGCCCAAACAAAGGAAACAAAGATAACAGGTTAGGTTCTGTTCTCCACGCACTTGTTTCAGTCTATGCCAAAGACACCACTGTGGGTCAGCTGCGGGCAAAAATGGCAGAGTACCAAAGAAGAAGGCTGAGTGGTCAAGGCTAGACCTCTGCCTGGAGGGGCTAGAGAAGTGCTCCTGAAAGATGAGAATAGAATCAAAGGACACATGTATGAAAATAAATGTGGAGGACAGAAATCATGTTGGAAGGACAGAAAGAAGCAAGAACAGGAGGCAGAAAGGCCTAGGACTAGTTTGGATGGAGTGAATGTGTCTACACAGCAGTTTCTCGACCACAGCACTACTGACCTTTGGGATTAGTAAGTCTTTGTTGTGGGAAGAGTGTCCTGTGCATCACAGGACTCTTAGCAGGTTCTCTGGTTTCTACCCATTAGAGGTAAGCAGCACTTTCCTCTAAACACAGTTATGACCTAAAATGTCTTCAGATACTGCCAAACATCCCCTGATGGGGAATGAGCTACTGGTTGAGAAACACAGCTCTATGGGAAAGAATCAGGAGGATCAGAGAGAGCATGGGACTCCTTCCAGGTGCAAACGGGGCTCTGGTCACCTTCTTGGCCAGGGGCAGGTGACCAACTGGTAACTGGCAAGATAACAGCTACTTCCACTTTGTAATCATCACAATCATTCATTCAGTCAACAAACACTTAGAAAGAACCTACCACACTCAGGCCCATGCTGGGTGTTGGCAATGATCACATCTCACCTAACCCTTCCAGCCACCCTTGAGGTCACAGAGGCTCAAGACATCAAGGGGACTTGCCCAAACTCACAAGGAGAGGGACAGAGCTGGGATTCCAGCTGCAACCTGTACACCTGCTCAATTCTTGGGAATCAGCTCGGCAAAGTAACTCAGAAGATATCTCAGACAGACAGCAGAGAAACGAGCCTTCTTAGGTGGGGAACCTCTTTTCTACTGGTGCCAGAGACTCTCCTGTTGAAAAGCTGTTTCCATCTGCATTGTGGAGAGCAAGTAGGACTCCGGGTTCAAATCCCAGCCTTGCCATTTAGAGACACAACAGGAATTTTACTAAGCCAGTGGCCTTCCATTTGGCTGCACATGAGAATCACTTGCGGAGCATTTAGAAATACTGATGTCTATGTTCCATCCTCAGACCAACTGAACAAAAACCCTCAGGTGGGGTCCAAGCACCCCAGCTAGCATGAATGTGCAGTGGGGTTAGAACAGCTCCTTTAGACTGAAGCCTCCTGAGAGCCCACTCTAGAGGATCTCCTTTACTGGTTCATGCCAGACTTAGCACAGTGAGAGGAGAATGAATGAATGAATGAATAAGGCCTATCTAGTTCTCTGTTTTCTCAACAGTAAAATGGGCGCAGTATTGTAGGGTTTTTTTTTATTTTTTTGAGGGAACAATGTGCTAAGGGACAGTTAGTTACCCTCTCTGCAGCCCCTAAAAGTTTTATCAACACTAGTTAGCATCCAAACTCTTCCCACCAAAACTCCTTTTCTACTGATTCTTCCTCATAGTCCTGGTGTAGCACTGTAGAATAAGCAATTAACTGCTAATAGGAAGGTTCAAACCCACCAGCTGTTCCTTGGAAACTCTATTATTGCTGTTATATGCCATTGGTTCCAACACATAGCAACCCTGGAGGTTTCCAAGGAGCAGCTGGTAGGTTGGAACTGCTGACCTTAACAGTCCAGTCCTTGTCCTACGGCGCCACACCAAGATGCGAGTTGGAACCACCTTGACAGTACTTAACAACAACAACACACCTTGTATGCTTCCTGTTTTTCTCCTCATTGTCTGTCTCCCCCAAGAATGGAAACTCTGTGGGCCAGATGTTTTGTCTATTTATTGAGTAAATATTTGCTCAATGAATAGATGGCAAGCAAAGAGATAGCTGACCTCATGTCTCTGCCACCCATGTCCCTCCTCCACCAGCGTTCCACCTCAAGAGGTAAACAACTAAGCATGAAGGCTGGGGAAAGCGCTGCTGCTGTCAGTAAACCCAACAGTGCTCATTCCAGGGACAACTGCCCGTTCCATTTGTGCTCCTCCTGGACCCCCACCAGACCCCCACCACCAGACAGGGGTTCTGCCTTGGGACCTGTGTTCTCCCAGACTCTCTCAGTTCTCTCCCTCATGGGTGCCACTGGTCTGCCACAGACCAAACACCTCCGTGTACGTCTGGGCCAGAGCCAGAGAACTCTGTAAATGGTTTTGCCAAATATTTTTCCAAGTGCCTGGAGGCTCTTTCTTAATTTAGAAAAGAGTCTCTGCCTTCTCAGGTGAGCTGCTTCCTTTCTGTTGAGGGCTCTTGGCCTCTCTGGGTATCTGCTGAGAGCAGGGAACCATGGGACCACAGCCAGGAGCAAGCCAAGTCTGCAGCTTTTTCCCTCTCCTGCCACCCCCCGTGCAGAGTGAGACCACCACGGGCTCCTTTATGAGGCAGGACTGGAAGGAGCCTTTTCCACTCACACCTCATCCATCAGAAAGTGCCAGAGCCCAGAGCAGGGGGGCCAAGTGAGAAGGGAAAAGCCCCTCTGTGTTCTCCACACTAGCAAAAGCTGCGCTTCACCAATTCACAGGCAGCCAGGGACTCCTGTCTGGAGATGAAGGAGAAGGGGATGGGAGAAATGTGGTCTTTCAAGTCCCCTTGTACCATGGGAGCCCTCAGAGCAGGGGCAGGATGGAGCTAGGAGACACCACAGCTGTCTAGATGAGAACCAGATGGTCCAAGAGAGAGGGCAGCTGTGGCCACAGCTGGGAGCCAAGGCCTTAGCTTAGGACATGGGTCTAGGTTAAGGCAACTACTAGAAAACCCATGAGCAATTTGGAATTTTCCTGCAAAACGTCATGGACTCTTGGGCTGCGTTGTCCTCAGTCCATCTCCTGGTCACCTACTATACCTCAGGCGCTGTGTTAAGCTCAGTATGGAGAGCAACAAACAAGATGCGCACATCCCAACTGGTAAGGAGGAGCCCCAGTGGCACAGTGGGTTAAGCATTGGTTGCTGACTGAAAGGTTGGCAGTTCAAACCCACCAGCCAGCCACTCCACAGGGGGAGAAAGATGGGTTATCTGCTCTCATAAAAATTTAACCCTAACTCTACTCCATGCTGTAAGGTCACTGTGAGTGGGTATCGACTCGAAGGCAGTGGGTTGGGTTTGGGGTTCTGGGTGGTAAGAGAGACAAGAAAGACTTAACGTTGAAACTAATTAAGCCACGTGTTCCTGAATAGAGGGAAGGCTCGTGGCCCAAAGTCTGGGTGCTCTACAGGGGCCTCCTGGAGCAGGCAAAACTAGAGATGAGTCTGCAGGGATGGAAGGCCCGGCTGGAGGAGTGGAAGAGAAAGTGCCTTTTAGGGATCCAGGGCTCTGTAAGCTAGAGACCCACCAGCTAGGGAAATGGCAGACTTTCCTCCAAAGGTGGTTAGAAAGATAACTCCCCTGACATGGCTAAGCAGGGTTCTGGAAGGTGCAGGGAAAAGGTGTAGCAACATTCCTGAATGTACAGGGTGCTCATTGCCTTTATCTGGAAATCTCCCTCCCACCTCACACTGGGATGGCAGAGGTTGGTGTCCGGGAACTCGCCTCTGGCATATCAGGGAGGGGTGAAGCTTAGACACAGAGCCATCATTGACCTGCCCAAGATCACCCAACTAGGAGCTGGAGGAATTGGGATGAGAACCCAGGTCCCACTGACCCCAGAGACCACTTTCTCTCAAAGTCTCTGCTCCAGGTTGTGTGGTAGGATGGCAGGGCCCCAAGCAGTGGGGAGGTGAGATCACGGCTCCATCTCCCACAGCTGAGGCAGTTTTGGTGAGGGAGCAGCAGAACCAGGGCTAAAGAGGACCCTCCTGTCTGAGAGGACAGGGCTCCTGTCACCTACCACAGACTCCTGAGGGTGGCCTTCCCAGGAGCAGCTGGGCTCTGAGAGAGACATCAAGCCAGGGTCAAGGTCTTATCACACCTCATTAACCTTGGAGGGGCACGTACTCCACACCCAGGTGTTCCCTGCCCCCAGGCAAGAGATCAGTACACATGGAAGGCAAGCACGACCCCCAAGAAGCCTTTCTCACCTCCTGCCAACATTTCCCGTGCCCACGGAGGCTGGGCTGGGCTGGGCTGAGGAGAGGCAGGCTGGCAGACAGGCACACGGCTCTCTAGCCTGAAGGCCTGACTCACTGGCACCCATGTAGCAAGGCAAAGTACCAAAATTGAGGGTGTACCTTTCGTCCAAGAGGTCCTGGATTCCCAGGGAGCCCTGATAAGCCCGCATCGCCCTGCAGAACACAGACAAGGGGTGTGAGATGGGGGAACGTGAGCAGAAACACTAAACTGCAAATGTGCAGAACAGCTGGTTGCTTCCCAGCTGAGTCTGCAGATGCTTAGAGGCCTCAGGGGAGTCTTAGGGGCTGTCTATTGAGGAGAGGAAAGCTGAGTAGGTGGGTGCCCAGCCCCTCCCAACCAACTCAGTAGTTCCACTTGATTTACTTCACATATTGGGCTTCGGCTTAAGATACCATTTCATGAATGGGTTCCACGGCTAAAACCATGTTTATAAGCCCATAGCCCCAGGGACTTACATCCTATCTATCAACTTCCAATCAGTTAACTCCCTCTGCAGTCCTGCCAGACCTTTCCTTCTGCCCACCCCCTTACCCTTGCCAGGGCATGTGGTCCCCAAACAGGGAGATTTCTTCCACTACCTCCAAGAGCTGAGAGTGGACAGCGCAGAACAGGAGGGAAGCTCAAGGCCCTCGATCTCGTGAGACCTGGGCACAAATCACAGTTCTGACAGTGACTGGCTACGTGACCTCAAGCAAGCCACCCCTTTCTGGGGCTTCAGTTTCCTCAACTCCAAGCTGGGCCCATCAGCCCTGGTTTATCAGGTTATGACAGGATTATCATATTTTTCACATATAAAAATGCACCCACATGCGAAGGGGTTGTGTGGTTTACAAAAACCATAGAAACTGAGCATTATTTGCATTAAAATGTTGTAGATAGGTAGTGGAGACTGTCTTGAAACCTAAGACCACCTGAACTAATTAATGAGGAAGTGAAGAAATGAGGCCCCTGTGTTTCAGGGAATCAATGGGACCAACTACTTCTGTGTGCACAAGCAGAGGAGAGCTCTTGAGCTGTGCCCCAAAGGAAGACAGATGGGCCAGAATGGCCCTTCCAGGGTATGTCTATCTGAGACAATGGGTAACCTCACTGGGAGATCTGGACTTCTCTGTCCCTGCCAGTCCCACACACCCACCAGGTCCTGGGCTCAGTTAATGGGGTGGGCGCTTTGGGCAGAAGTCTTTTGGGTGAAGTGTTTTCTCTTCTGGTCTCATAGACCTTTGGTCAAGAAGGACAGTGCTCTTTCCATCCCCCACACACTCTTCATCTCAGGTCCCTTCCTTCCTCCTAGGAATCCATAGGCGAACTCTGCATGCTCACTGGAAGTTTCCTGGGCAAAGGCTTCAAGAGGTCCAGCGTCACCCCGTGCACTCTGCAGAGCACCAGGCTAAAGGATATTCACCAAGGATGTGTCCATAGGCAGACATTTTTGTCAGTTTTATTGGAAGCACCACAGAAGAAGGCAGTGAATAATGAATGGTCTTGGGTATTTTGAAAAGCTGAAGGACTTCAAGGAAACAAACAAACTACATTCTGATCTTTCCAAACTTTCCACCTCCCTGCCTTTGTCATGCACGGACCTTAGTGAGAATAGCTCCCCCAGAGGGTGACAGTTTCCCTAGTAACCACTCCCACTCTCCCCTGAGCCTGGGGTCCCTGGAACCTACCTTTGCCCCATCATGGGCCTTTCCTGGTGAAAGCCCCGAGTCCCCTTTCTGTCCCTGAAACAAAAACAATTCCACTGTGGCTGCTGAGTCACATCTAGAGAGCTTGTCTCCCCACAAACTGCTTGTAACCCTGTCCCCCAGCTTAATTGTTCCATGGATTTCCCCCACTCACACACTTTTGGAGAGGTATTCTCTGAATCCATTACTCCCCTGCTCTAGCTTCTTCCATAGCTCCCACTGACAACATGATGACAAGATCCAAGCTCCTCATTCTGATGTCCTGAGTCTCCCATAATCTGGCCCCAGTTAGCTTGCCTGGCCTTTGTTCTTCTTTGCTCAGCTGTACCTGCAGAAAGGGGGTCTGCTGCTCCAGTTACCAGATCCTAGACCATGACTCATTCAGGCCTTGCTTGCGTAGGCAGTCGCCCTCCCACCTCGAAAACCACACTCCCTCATCATTAGCCAAACCCTAAATAGTCTTCAAGATGCATCTTGAATGTGTCCTCCCCAACCAACCTGCAGACCTCGGGGCCCACCACACAGGTGAGGGGCTTTTGTGCATGTGTTGCTAGGTCTGCCTCCTGACTTGTTCCCCTGGGGCTCTCAGAGTTTCTGGGAGAGAATATCACCACCAGCGGGCTCAGGCACCCAACACAACTCTATCCAACTGCAAGAGGCACATCTGATTCTTTCTGTTGTTCAGTAATTATCCAAGATCCAACACACTGGCTTCTGTGTCCAGCCCTTCACAGTTTGCAATGTTCCTCACCTCACTAGATCATCCTAGCCTGAAGAAGTGGATGTCTTGGATTGAATGGTGTCCTGATTCCCAGAACCTGTGTATATGACCTTGTTTGGAAATAGAGCCTTCGAAGATGTTGTTGTTAAGAGTCGTCGAGTCAGTTCCAACTCATAGTGACCCTGTATAGAGTTTCCTAGGAGCAGCTGGTGACCTTGCAGTCCAGTGCATCAACCCACAGCAGTGGTTAACATTCAGTTATTACAGTGTTGAATGGGTCTCAATCCCATCTAAGTGGAGTCTTTATAAAAGAGAAGAAACACAGAGACCCGACATCCAGCCAGAAGACGGTCACATGATGACAGAGTTACGCTGCAGCTGCAAGTCAAGGAAAGCCTGGGGCTGCCAGAAACCCGGACTGCTGGTGTGGTGCTGTAGGACAAGCACTGGACCTTAAGGTTGGTTTGAGCCTCGAGTCTAGCAGTTCAAACTCACCGGCTGCTCCTCGGAAATGCTATACAACAACAGTATTGAATCCAGACTCCTAGCCTCGAGAACTTTTAGACAATGCACCATCTGTGGTACTCTGTTACAACAGCACTAGAAAACAAATTCAGTGAGCAATAAAAGGGTTATGACCCCCTTCTACATTCAGGGAAACTAAGACCAGGAGAGGAAAAGGAAACTGTCTGAAGCCCCAGGATGAGGCACTGAGACTCCCAGACCTGAACTATGGGATGAAGTCCTGGGACCCAACGAGTAGATCACAGTAAATCGGACAAACATAACAAGCTTGGGGTCTCCAGTCAGATTCAAGCACCTTTGCACCCAGCATGTAGGAAGGGTCCCCACTGCAAGGATCCTGGCCCCTACAAGTAAGGGGCTTAAGAGAAGGACCCAGAGAGTTCATGGGTTGTGTCTCCTCCAGGGCTGAAGTAGGTGCTCCTGGCTTAAATTACTCAGATAACACATCTTAGGAAAGTTGGACCATCCTGATGTCCCCTTCCAAGTGCTCTTAATCCCCACGACCCCACCTTCTACCCTTTGCCTCAGCTGGGCCCAAGCCAGATGAAGCCCAGCTCTGCCACAGACTCATGGTGGGGCCTCAGCAAATCTCCGCTCCTCTCCAAGCCTCAGTTTCTTCACCTTTGAAATGAATGCACACAAACATGCGTACACACACACACACACACACACACACACACACACACGCTGGCTTCGCAGGCCTCTCGGGTGTGAAGCAGGGGAGAGGTGGTTTGGCTAACTTTCATTCATTCCTATTTGTTTCTTTTCTTCATCTAGACTCAGACCTGCCAGGTCTGGACTCAGTCAACCTCCATAAGAAAGGATTACATTCTGACCTAGAAATGGGAATAGCTTTCCACGGCTAGCCTAGTCCACACCAGATACTGTGTTGTTCTATGCATGGACCCCTTTAGCACTCACAACACCCACCTGTTTCAACTAAGGACAAAGTCGGGGGCTGAAGACTTTAAGTATCAAGCTGTGGAGATGTGGCAGGTTAGAGGCAAAGGCAGCCTTGCTTCCCAGCTTATCAAACTTCAAAGCACTCATTTACAAAATGTAAACCTGAATGTTTCTTCCACTCTGCCCAGCCCCACCTTAGTAGCTCCAGCCCTTCCTTGCTAGGGCCCCTGAATCCTAATGCTCTGTCTACCTGAGCATCAGCAGAGATATCATTTGGAGAAAAGGTCACTCTGCTAAAGCCACAGGATGTGTGGTCACCTCTTCTGCAGGACCCACCTCTGGGATCTACTACCTTACATTGCAGTTGCCCCTCTTGCTTCCTACCTCAGTATGCGCAAGCCCAGCTCCAATGCCTTTTAAGTCCATGATGCAAAGCCAGGCCAGGCCCAGGGCTACCGAGATTCCAATGGCCAAAAAAGGACAGCAGCTCCTCCCCACCCTGCCCTTGCCTCCCTTTTTCCTGCAGCCTATAGAGGAGGTGGAGTCCTGGTGTGGTGCCACTGAGTAAGCACTGGACTTCAAGGTTGCTTTGAATCACAAGGTGGGCAGTTTAAATGAATCAGCCACTCCTCAGAAACCCTACACAGGGTCACTCTGAGTAGGAACCAACTCAAAAGCACACAACAACAATAGAGGAAGTGGACTTACGAGCTTTCAGGGATAAACCTCCATGTAACCCTATTTTGTCATTAAATAAAAGGAGAAACTGAGACCCAAAGAGTGATAGGCTTGTTCCCTTGCCCAGGGTACTCAACCTGGGGGGCATTTTAGTTATTTATGGATTTGTCTCTCACTCTCAGCTGCCAGCTCAGTGCGTAGTATGTATTCCCTGCCAGAGCAGAACATCAACAAATACAGATATTTACTGAACATCCACTACAAGTCAAGTAGTAACCAATTAATACAGGGAATACCAAGGCAATGAACAAGACACAGTTCATGCTTATGGGAGCTCCTGGGAGAAACTGGACAGACTGGTAATGATAACACACATCAGTATTTATTGAGTGCTCTCCTAAACCACTGACAAATAGTAACTCATTTAATCCTCAAGCTAAATCTAAGAGGTGGCAACTGTCATTGTCCACATTTTACAGAAGAGAAAATTAAGGCACAGGGAGGAGACGTAACTTGTGCAAAATATCAGGTTCCAGAGCCCAAGCTCTTTACATTTTAATATACTGCAGAGGAAAATATGGTGAGTCAAAGGAGGATACTACGGGAAGTGAGGGAGAACTTCACCTAGACTGAGAATAAATTCCTGAAAAGGCTTACAGCTAAATGGAGGGTGAGGGAAGACAAGGAGGGTACCAGCTGAGGAGGCAGCTCAAGGGATGCTTTTAGCATCCTGAACAAGGTGAAGGCAGGACTTCTGAGATGGAGAAAACGCTCCGTTCCAAAATAGATCTTCCCAGGCATATTCCTGCAAATTTCCCCAACGAGAAATTTAAGAATACATAAAGTCTTATTGATCATTTATACCATGATGAGGATAAGATGAGGATGGTCACCAGACTCAGAGTTGTATAGCACTACAGGAAGATGAAGGGAAGGTGGTTTTTAAACTCTAAGTGCTAACAGTACAGCCAGAACGGGAACTATGTTGGGCTCCATTTTCACTGGTAAAGTTGGGAGTCAGGAAAGAAGAGGGCTCAAGCTGGCTGAGGCCTAGATGAGCACTGAGACAAGGATGAGCAAATCACAAAGGACTGGAAATTCTGGGCTGGTAGCCCCTTGGTTAAGTCATCTTGGTTCCCAGTATCCAGGTCAAAGCTTGGACTGGAGTTTGTTGTTGTTGTGTAGTGCTATTGAGTCAGTTCCGACCCATAGCAACCCTGTATAGGGTTTCCAAGGAGTAGCTAGTGAGCTTGAACCACCAACCTGGCAGTTCAAACCAACTTTGCAGTCCAATGAATTAGCCCACAGTGGTATATCAAGACTCTTGGACTGAACGGAGTTGGTAGTGGTTATGTGCCATAGAGTCAGTTTCAACTCATAATGAGCCTGTACAGGTTTTCTAAGGCTATAAATCTTTATGGGAGCAGAAAGCCTCATCTTTCCCCCGCGCGGAACAGCTGGTAGTTTCGAACTGTTGACCTTGCGGTTCGCAGTCCGATTCGTAACCACTACACTATCAGAGCTCCTTGGATGGAGTAGACACCATAAAATACTTCACAAATTCACAAAGTACTGAAGAAGAGTCTCAAAGGACAACTCTTCTAGGGCTGGGATTGGACTAGATCTGGCCCTGGTCATGGAGCATTCTATGAAGACTTACTGGGCCTTACACTATGACAACTACTATTACATGTTGCTACAAGTTTTGGACAATGCAATAAGGTAGGAAAAGCAAGTAAGAACTACCAATCTTTGAAAAAATTATGACAAAAGGATGCGTTTTTTTGTAAACACTATGACTACGAGTCTGGAAAACCCAGAACTTGCTATAAATCTACTAGAACTAATAAAGTAATCCAGTAAGAGGAATGCTTGTAAAAATAAACAGAAAAATATAAAAATCAATAATTTTCTTAAGAACCACCTAGAAAATATAATGGGTAAAAATATTCCATTCACCACAGCAACAGAAAACATAAAATTTCTAAATATAAACTTAAGCAGGGCTTATGCAATAAAAGCTATAAAAGTTTACTAAGAGATATTTTAAAAACCAAATGGGAAAACATGTCATGTTTGTAGACAAAAGAAGAAAAAACCTTAATATGTAAAAGATGTCAATTCTTCATAAATTAATGCGTACGCTTAATACCATCCCAATAAAAATTCCAACAGAATTTTTTTAAAGGAAGTTGTTAAGATGAGTCTA